AGCCTGGCTCACCTAAGAAACTTGACAACAACCGCATGTCTCGATTCATGGACCGCCCATCATCAAACGGCACGTCAGAACCTGCCAAGGAGCCAATCCGTCTGACGCATCAGCGAACAGGCTCTCGGTCTCCTGTTAAGATGTTCCAAAGGCCACTGCCTGAGCCTGAGCCCTCATCCCCAACAAAGGTTGATAGTGACCCCGTTGTCTCTGTAAAGAATGCGAGGGCCATGTTTGGCGGTGCTGCTCAACCCCCACCTCTGGCAGCGAAGCCCTCGTGGGACAGAACAGAGGCCTCAGGAGTACAGACACCACCAAGAGCTTCTCCTCGCCCCCTTCCTGACCCCGGACGATCTTCTCCTCTACAAATCAACAAGACTCCATCTCGAGCGGCTACCCGTCCCTTGCCAACACCCCCTACTAAGGAACCCCAGACTCCTCAAGCCCCGCAGACCCCCAAGCCTCAGCAAACAGCTTCAACCGCACCACCAAAGACCCCCAGCCAGGGCAGCGATGTTGCTAGTCTATTGACAGACTTCTTTGGGCCAAAGCCTTCAAGGTCTGAGTACAAGGTAGATGCTGCAGAGCTTCTTGCAAACCGACCACCAACGGGCCCCCTGAAGATCCAGAGTCTCAGCTTCCAGGTGTTCCAAATATCTGCAGAGGGCAAGAAGACACCTGTTTCGGCTCACAACGAGCGCACATTGTTTGAGCGAGAGATGTACATTGCTCCCCACAGCTTCACAAATGAGGCTGGCTGGAAGCGCCTGGAGATCTATTTCTGGGTTGGTGACCAGGTTCCTGAGTCGGCTGCTGACGATGCTCTTCTTTTCGTCCAGAAGGAAGCCAAGGCATTGGGCGGTAAGCTTGTCAAGATGCAGCAAGGCAAGGAGACAACGGAGTTCTTGCAAGCTCTTGGTGGAGTTGTCCTGATTAGACGCGGCTCAAGCAACAAGTACGACTCATTGGCACCCAACATGCTCTGCGGCCGGCGCTATCAGGGCCAGGTCGCTTTCGATGAGTGTGATTTCAGCCCATCGAGTCTCTGCGCAGGATTCGTCTATATTCTCACCAGTCAGGGTAAGGCCTATATCTGGAAGGGACGAGGATGCGATGTAACAGAGCTGAGTGCGGCGAAGCTCATCGCAATTGAGCTTACACTCACTGGAGAATTAATCGAGGCCGACGATGGCGATGAGTCTGAGTCTTTTTGGAAACTTTTTGAAAGCGGATCAAAGCCTCACTCGGCTGATCATTGGAGACTTAAGCCCAACTATGCCAAGTACTGCAGCAGACTCTTCTGCTCGGATGCAGACACACGGCAACAGGTATGTTGATTCACATTGGCTCAAGCTGTCAACGTACTAATAAGCACCAGGTTTTTGAGATCGCTCCCTTCAACCAGCATGACCTCTCTCCCGAGCACATATATGTTCTTGACGCATTTTTTGAGATGTACATCATTGTTGGCGCCCGTGCTCAGTCGCAATACTCGTCTTTCCGCAACGCTCTCGACTTTGCTCAAGAATATGCCATCCTTGCCGCGGGCATGGAGGACCGCCCTTTTGTACCCATCTCAACAGTCGTATTGGAAGGTATTCCTCGGGATCTGAAGCGTGTCTTCCGTTTCTGGCGAGATGACTTGAGCCCTACAGCAACACATACTAGCTCGGCTGCTATGGGAACACCGAGACGGGGCCGAAGTCTGAGGGTCGTATCACTAACGCAAGCACTGCAAGCGCTTAGAGAGTAAGCTTGTCGGCGCATTTGCTATATACAAAAGCTGGGCTTCATCGATTTCTTGTGTGGTTTTTAGTGTAGCGATATTTCCTTGTAATTGGTCGGTCTCGGAGCATGGCGAGATATAAGGCAGGTCGGGCCTGGCGTTGAATCTCGTTTCTGATCCTCCGGTTTTGGCGTGTAGATGATGATAGACGATACCGAATGAAACACGAAAAGTGTGCAAGTTACATACAGATCTGTATGCATGTGAATTCCCGTGACACTAGGGGGAAGCGATCGACATCCGCATATGTAATGTATATACGTCTATTCATTCCGTCATGCGACTAAATTCTGAAAACATCTTGTGAGCCCGCCTTATGAACCTAGGTAAAACAAACAAGCGCAAACCCGCCAGCAAGCAAGCTCCAGTAACGAAAAGCAGAAACAGTTAAACAAAAAACAGTTGGGCTGAGCTCAAGCCCGTAAACCTAACGAGCACAAGCCGCCTCATGCATGCGTCTATGGGGGTATCAAAAGGCTGCCTCAAGTCTTTGCATCCGACGTGACTCCCCGTATGGCAAACTCCTTATCCCTATCCTACCCAGTCTTCTCCCTCCTGCTCCTCCTCCTCCCCCTCAATAATTTCTTTTTGTTTGATAAGGTGTGCTCAATGCGCCGAGCCATTTGTGTCGACGGCTGAGCTCTTGCCAGTTGTTGAGTCAAGTGAAGTGGGCACAGCCATGGGCTGGCCGCGGGCCTTTGCTGTGAGAGTGACGAGTTCGTTGAGCATGAGTTCGCGCGTTGTGCGGGTAAGCTCGTCGACGTCGGCGGCGGTCAAGTTCTTGGTGGGAATCGGCTTGAGAACTACACACAGTTAGATATTTGGGCAGGTGAACAGAGTAGTTATACGCACCCTTGACGGGGATCTTTCCAGATTTGAAGGTGAGAGTCTTGGGGTGCATGATATGGCTATAGTTTGCGACAACGCAGGGCACAATGGGCACACCGGCCTGGACAGCAAGGTGGAAAGCACCCTTCTTGAAAGGCAACAGCATGGGCTCCTTGGCGTAACTTCGAGTGCCCTCGGGGAACATGTAGACACTCTGTCGCTTGGACTGAATCTCACTAGCAGCGCCCTTCATAGCCTCGCGGGCATCCTTGCTGTTCTTGCGATCGATAAAAATGGAACCGCTCAACGACATGAACCAGCCGAGGAAAGGCACCTTCTTCAGCGAAGCCTTAGCAGTAACACTGCAGTACTTGGGAAACACGATTCCGAGCATGAGAACATCGAGTTCTGTCTGGTGGTTTCCGATAAAGATAGCCGGGCGCGTAGTACCGAGGACATTATCGGGGTCCTCAACGACGAACTCAACGCCAGTGGTGTAGCGCATAACGTGGTGAAAACAGCGGCCGACAGCCCATTGCGCGATCTGCTGCTTCCCGACGATGGTGAGGAAGATGGAGGCGAGGACTCCGTAGGCTGCGACGGCGAGGAGAGAGATGTAGGAAGCGAGACCGCGGGCGGCGAAGGCGGCTTTTGGAACGACGAGGGACATGGCGTAGAAGAAGATTGTGAGGGCGGCGTAGCCGAGGAGGAAGTAGAGGAGGATATTGGAGATGGACATGATGGGCGACGACGGATTCTGCTCTTTGGTTGAGGAGGAGGAAGGGAGGGAGGGAAAGACAGGTGATGAGACAAAGTGAGACACCAGCAGAGGAGAAGTAGAGTTTATAGGTTAAAGACTACAAAGTAGGAGGAGGTCAGCTGGGTTATGGATGGATGTGGATATGGATATGGATATTGGATGGATCTGGTGGATTGTATGGGTTTGGCGGGGGTTGGTTTGTTGAGTGGGTTCAATAAAAGTGTCAATTCTAGCGATGGATGGCGGGGTCTTTTTTTTCTTTCTCTTTCCATGTCTTGGACCAGACACTGAATAAGTCACTAATTCAGTCAGTCAAGAAAGTATACTATATACCTTAGAGGATGAGGGATTAATGTACAGACATAGTCAGATCACATTCACTTCTAAGGAGCAACTGAGTTGTTGATTAGTTAGTTCCATGCTCTACAACAGCCGTTGACACGGGACGGGAACGTCTTTGATTGGGAGGTTGTCATTGGTTGGGTGATGTCACAGGCAGGTACAGGGTGTTCGTTTTTATGGCTTGTGAAAGTCGGCACCGAGGATGAGGAACAGATGACATGACATGGATCCCGCCTGACTCAGCGGTTTGTTTGGTGCTATATTATATCCGGTTGGGACAACAATAGTTGGGGATGGGTATGTCCATAACTCACACCATGCAAAGAATTAAATGATGGAATGAAAACACCTTGTAGAACTCTTCTCTCCTCTTCTCTTCTTTATGCCTTGACAGTTGATTCGAATTGTATTGTATCGAACACTGCCATATATAACACCTAGCATATCTACTATTGAGGTTCAGATGATGCCGTAAAGTACCAAAGTTCATCTTAGATATCGTATGATATCCTCTAAAGACTCCGATCCTATGTGACAAAAATATTCAATAGGTTGGAGCATATACTATGATATTTTTTAAGATGAACTTGGTGGGCTCTCAGAGCCTCGCGTCCCTGAAACTCCGAGGCCATGTTCTATACCGATTGGAGTGATCCAGTCGAGTACAGGAACAAGTTGATTGTTGCTCTCAGTCAGCCTAGAGTCATTTCAACGTTGCATCACTGTCTTCACAATATCTCTACTTTAAGAAGAGTCAACTTTTTAGCTATAGTTGTCTTTTCAAGTGCTCTGAAGTGTTTGAACCTCTGGCGTACTTGATAGAATTGAACTACAGGGAGCAATATGTCAGCTCCATGTAGAGTATGTGGCAGCCTCGAACAACCAGACTTGTTCATTCGAATACTTGTTCCACGGTTAATGGTCAAGTAACACCTCCTCTCGGTTTCAAGCGGTCACTCTAGCAATGCAAAATAGATCCATTACATAGAAACACAAAATAGCTGTCTCTTGGCTTTGATCACGGGATTGTCCGACCACACTCTTATTGGCTTCCTTCCGTGTAGTACAGTACCATCTGAGTCTGAGACATGAAACTTACAGAAAACGCTTTCTTTCTATAATAGTACAGTTATGTATCCTGTCAATGTAGAGTCTTATACTAAAGATGCAAATCAACTTGAACATACTCAGCATTGTCATGCCTGTATCACGTGGGCCCTATCGGATACTCTACCGGGTTGCGATAGCTACCTGGAGCTAAGGTGTCGAGCTAGTTCAGGTAGATAGGCACCTAATGTAACCGCTGTAAGCCAGACCCAAACTCAACTCCACCACGATCTATCATCACCATTCATTCTTTCGTTCTCCTTGGAATCTTTCATCCCATTGCAACATTTGCTGGCTTCTCATTTCTGCCTCGGCTACTCTATTACAGCCCCGTCCAAGCCGTAACAATCTCTGGCTCGACTTTCGAAACTCGCTTCAATTCGCCTGTCACTTGCTTGCTTGCTTGCTGGCTCGCCTATCTCCTCTCTTGGCTCTGTTCTCCCCTCTTAAACTCAATTTAAGCGCAGTCTGCCTGCGCCTTTGCAAGCACCCAGCCGGCATATGATGCGCGCATCCCGATAATCAATCGCCATGGCTTCCTCCCGCCGAGGACAACCGTCTCTTTCCGTCCGCATGCCTTCGAACCAACCTCTCGATCGTCCTCCTATCGATGCTCTCTTCCTCATCCACTTCGACGTCAAGGCCGGATATACAATTCTCTGGAAACAAAATGCTCCTGGTATCGACCTCGAAGGTCTTGTCGAATACAAATCTCTTCCTTCCGGGTTACACACAGTCTCCGAAGATCTCATCTACTTCGTTCACGACAGCGCCCATGCCGGACTCAGTGCCTTTGTTAACATGCCCTGCGATGAGGAGGAGGCACGAAACGCGAGAATGTTTGCCGTCGGAGTTCTAGTTCCCCTGAGCTATGGTCGTTTGGGGCGCGCTTGGAGGCATGCTGAAGGACTGAAGGAGATGGCTGCGTACGCAATCTACCCAATGCGCAATGGACTTGGCTGACGTGTTGAACAGGAAACTGGCCGAGGATCGCAAAAACACAAGCATACTCGAGGAATATTGGCTTGCCAATCGCGAAAAGTCTGGAAATGGCAATCGTCGACTCTCAGGAGAGACACCCGTGAGCTCTCCGTCTCTCAACTCATCACCTTTCCCCCGCAAAACCCACAGCCGCAACCGATCAGCTTCCGACGGTGCCTCTCTAATACCGCCTGGCAACAAGCTCTCACCATATCACCCTGCCTGGAGTTTGACTAGCCTTCTGGACAAGTTTGGTCCGCTCATCTTTCCTATACATCGCGCTGCTTTACTGCGGAAGCGTATTCTAATATCATGTCATGCACCAGTCCATGAAGTTTGTGATTTTGGTATGCCATATCCCTTCAGCTAGTAGCTTTTTATTAATATTCCTAGTATACAACCTCTCTGTTCTTTCCAATATTCCTCTATCTGTCACAGATATACTTCCAGGATCAGCTTCAACGCAGCGTCTAAGACCGCTTTTCTCTATTGGTGTTCATGATATACCTTTCCTCATGGACGACTTTGAGGCCTCTAAGAGGCCCCGCAATGATGAAGATGTGATAGATGACGAATCAGGCTCTGGTTGGATTGCGTGCACCACCGACAGCATTCTCGCTATGAAGGACACACTATGGGATATGCTCGTCACTTTGCCTCCCGACTACTCCTCTAATGCTACAGAGCGAGTCTGGCCCGTGGTCGAATGCCCTCGCGGACAGCCTATCAAGGCGACCCAGCGAGATCTTCGTCGTTTTACCACTCTAAAGAACGGCCTTGCCCGTCTTGCAGCTGCGAGCCAGGTCCCTAGCGCGGTCCCAGAGTCTCCTGAAGAGGAGCGCTCTGCGCGTAGATTTTCTACCCAGTCGAGTCATATAGTTCGTGACCCACGAGACGACGCAGTGGAAAAGGTCGTCGAACCCCTGACATGGGCAGCTTTTGCCTACAATGGTTACATGTGGTGGGCCAGCGCTGGTGAACAATTGCGTCAGGAACAGCAAGACGAGGCAGCTCATGATGCTTCCCTGCTCGCCGATTTTGGACCCTCTATGACTATGCCACGACCAGGTTCTCGCTCTGGACAATTATCAGACTCACTTGGGTCTCTCAATGCCAGCAATCGTGCCCCTGATGGTTCTGGCGAAGCCCGGTTTGAGCTTGCTATCATCGCTTATTTCCACCGTCTCACCACACAAATACTATCAGTGTTAGCTGATCTAGCTGACAGCCAAGACGAGCCATATACTGACCATGATGATGATGACGAGGGCCTGTCGCAAGCTTCGGGCGAAAGAGCACCACTTCGCCCATCAGACTCTGACCTCGAACCTGACGATGCCGATGCTATCCGCGTAGATAGCCACGCTGTGGAAAACATGGGCCTCGACGTCTGGAGTGATACCGATGCCTTGTTCATCCGTGAATTGTCGATCCTGTACTTTGGTCGTCCCGCTCATATTGAGGGCAAGGGTGTCGAAGTCTGTGGTGTAAGAGTATGTTAAGAAGCGACCTCACTGTTCCAAAGATATGCACAAGCAAGACGAAAGCTGGTCCTACGTCTTTGGAACCTTATACTACGTATAGTCTATATCCCGAAAGGTCCTGAGAGAATCTGGAAGAAGCGATACAATAGGCGTGCATAATGTATGGAAACAAGAACGTTGCCTCACGGGCACTGTTTCAAAGGGGAAAGAGAATGTTAATTCAGGCGCTTGTTATATTATATGATGGTTGGTCCAATACGGGCTTTTTGCTCACTGGAGGCTGAGATGGAAACTGGAAAAGGTGTCTTGGTGCTTGAACGAAACAAGCCGGCTGTGGAAATAATTCGAAGTTGAATGAGAATAAGCACAACAAGAAAGAGTTATATACTGAGTGTGTGCCTTAAAGAAACCCCTAAACTCCCAACTTGTTTCTAGATAGAGAAACAAATGCCCAAGCTTTAAAGTGTTTGTCATCTTCCTCCAGACTCCCTCCCTTCCTAATACATACATACACAAGGATGATGTCGCTTCCGTATACACACATCATGCTCCTAAGAGGGGTTTCGCTCATGATTTAGTGATTACAGTACTTTTTTATATCCACAAAGAGAGACTGGTAGGCCGTTATGACTCGTCCTCAGTATCGGTATTTGTTGCGCTGGTGTCATCCTCCTCCTCATCTGTTCCACTCTCATCCTCAGAGTCGTCAGAATCCCTTCTACGGGTCTTGGGAGTCTGACCAGTCTTGAGAACGTGCATCTGTCCAGCGAGAGAATCTGAGAAGTTGTTAGCAGGAACATTCAATGATTTGTTTTGCAATTGAGACTTACCCTCTTCAGGCTCACTGATCTCGTCCTCGGCTTGCATCTCCGCTGCCTTGCTTGCTTCCTCGACAACCAATGTAACTTCCATCTTGGTATCGAAGCCGACATAGGAGTCGCAGATAACGTGCAAAACAAAGGTGTAGTGACCAGCTTGAGGAGGTGCGGCGAATTGAGCCTTGAGAGTCTGCATGTTGAAAGTAGGCTTGCCCTCATCATCGATAATAGGCTGATCAAACTTGGCGAAGTGGAAAGGAGGAACAGCCATCTTGCCTTGCTTAGAGTCGCTAAGGAAAGCGTGCCATTGAGGAGAGTGATCACGGGCATAGTAAGGTGCGTGTGTCAGAGGGGGCAGGATTGACTCCTCCTCGATAGGAATAAGCTTGCCGTCAGGGCCCTTGATAGTCTTCTTCTTGCGTCCGTTGATAGCCTCGATATCGTCCTCAGCCGGGTCAATGTCCTCGAGATCCAGCTCGTTGACAGGAGGAATGTTCTCAGTACCAGGAGGAATGAAGCGGCCCTTGATGACAAGAGAAACCAGTGACGAAGGGATAATAAAGCGCTCTCCAGTAACCTTGAAGAAAGCCCTAGATACACGGAAGAAGGGAATCTGCTTAGCGACACCAATCGCGGTCTGGTATTGCTCCTCAGTCAGGAGGCCCTTTCCAACAGCAAGCTGTCTGCGCTGTGCGTCTGGTCGATCCATAAATCGGTGGACAGGCATGTGTGTCTTGGAGTCACCTTCGATAGCACGAGCGATCTCGGGAGTGATGTGGGGAAGCTGGAGAAGAGGAGAGGCGTGGGGTGCAACAGCTTGGATCAGGTTCTGGCTGGTGTAGAACGAGTTGGCAATAGGACCAATGTTTCCGTAGGCGAGAGTGATAGCGTTGAAGGACTGGTTGAGGGCGCGGGCGATAGGGCCAACCTGGAACTTGGCCTTGGTCAGAGCAGGGTCGTCGAGCTCAACACGGCCAAGGTAAGCCCAGAGAAGGGCGAGGGCCTTTCGTCGAACGCCGTTGTCAAGATCCTCGAGAGCCTCCTTGTCCTTGAGCGACATGCCAGAAGCAGTGGGCCCGACCTCGCTTTCAGCTGTAATTCGGGACTCGATCTTGGAAAGACCAGATTCGCCCTTGTCGCCCTTCAGAATCTCCTCGAACTCCTTGCCAGCGCTGAGAGCAGTGATGATGCCGCCCTCCTCGATTTCGTCGTCGTATTGTCGGAACAGGTTGTTGGCGCTCTCCATCAGGACACCTTCCTTGGACATTCTCTTGGTGCCATACCACCATGATCCAACGAGCCAGGGCAGAAGAACTCCAAGAAGCATAGTGTACAGAAGAACGACATACTTGCCGTTACCATCGGAGACCATAAACTGAGGAAGAGCAATTCCCATGCTAAAGCTCTGTTTTCCATCGGGGTGGCCATATTGGATGTAGTTGTTGCGCACGTCTTCGTCGGTGAGCGCTTGATAGGCCTTGGTGAGTTCGACGTAGAAGTCGTTGAGGGATTCAACAGTCTCGTTCTTGGCTGGGTCAGGTCGAACCTTATCGGGATGGAACTTGAGGGAGAGTCGCTTGTAGTGCGACTTGATTTGCTTCTCATTGAGAGACTAGCAGCGATTGTGTCAGCAATGTCATTTCAGCACGAAATAGCCGTCGCGAAGCTTACCTCTGAGATACCTAGAATATCGTAAGGGTTCCAAAGCTTGGGGACAGTTCGCTGGGTGACCATAATCAGGTAGGCCATGCCAGCCATGAGGGCCCAGCCGATTATCACAAAGATAACCCGCTTGACCCTCCATTGGCTACGCTTCTGTGCTGACTTGAGCGACTCGACAGTAGCCGCATGCTCTGACTTGTAGTTGGTCTTGATCCGTGGCGCAAGCGCATCTTGGTCGCGGTTCGGGCGAAGGAGTGTGTAGGTAAGGGGAACAGTGACGATGCCGGTGAGAGTCAGGATAAAGAAGGGGAAGAATTGGCCCTATTAATTCGAGTTAGCTGGTGTCGAAGCATAGAGACAATGCCGTTCTTACCTGCTCGTCATAAGAGTAGTCGGAACTCATCTTGACGGTTTGAAGAGAGCCCCAGGGCTACTCTCAAAGCAAGCTCGAGGGGAAACGTAGCCCACAACTCAAGGCGATCAATGTATAGAAGATAGAAACAAAGACACACAAAAGCGCTCTAATAAAATAAAGAGATATCTCTTTACAAAATGAAGAACAAGTTCTCTGCCCCAAAAGAGTGTATTTTACTGGCAGATAATATTGTGCTTGTTGGGTGAGAAGGTAAAGTTAAAGAAAAGTGCTGGTGTTGTCGTTTAGTTACGGCCACGCAGCGCATTTCCCATGGTCGACCTTCGTCTGGAGTAGGAAGCGGGCGGGTTGACGGCTGCCGGTGATCGGATTATCTGTCACTCCCCACTTGCCGCCTGCACTGAATGGCTCCTTGCCGTACGCGCCACCGTGTTCTCAGTTCCAGCACAGAGGAACAATTTTAGAAAGGACAGCCACTGTTTCTTAGTACACTCAGCCCTGCAATCTATGACCTTCTAGCGCCAACCCCAACTCTATTTCGAGCCCGACTAAGGTACCTTATGCTTCAAAGTTACCGACTCAGAACGGAGCAAGCGAATTCTATTGCTTAAATAGGAACGAGACCAACTGGCCGTAATTTGACAAATGAAACGCTTGATGTCTATTAAAGACGCTTATAATGATATACTTGTTCCTCCCAATCCCAATCCAAATCCAATTTTCAAACCCAAACTTATAAAGCAACCATAGAACTATGCTACTAAGCTAGAGACATGCTGCTCGTATTATATCCACTTCCATCCATCTGACACGATACTCAGATCAACTGCTACCCTCCGAGTCACTCTTCTCTTCGGGCTCCTCGTAAAGAGTGTTATCGTCGAGGGTAGTCATACCAAGACCAAGACCACTGAGATCTTCCACATCGGTCTCGTCCTCTGTAGTTGCACCATTGCCCATCTCCTCCGCCAGAATGTTTCTGATGTCCTCTTCGCTGAGAATAGTTTGAATGCTGCCCCTACGCACCCATGGTCTTGAATCAGAGCGTCCGCGTTCAACCAGTCGCTCAATCTTGAGTCTGTTCTCAATAAACTTGAGCTTGGGGAAAGCACTTTGCTTTCCTTCGTGAATCATACGGGATAGCCGATGGGGATCAGGGTCCGACAGAATACGCCAGAAGTCTGAAATTCTCGACTTTGGCCAAATCGTAATAGTGCCGCTGAATTGTTGAAGCCAAAGCTGACTCCAGTCTTGACCAAGAGGCCGGGGCAACAACTCGGCATGGCGGATAAACTTGAGCCACTTATTCATGTCCAGTTTGAGATAGTGCTCAAACGCAGACATCAGGTAGCCGCCTCGCCATCCACGCCCCTTGCGATGTGTGACTGGGTGACCAACTGAGCCCCGAGAAGAGAAAAAGAAAAGGTTGATATGTGGGTTGACTTGGCTGACAATTGTAAAGTTGACGTTGAAGTGTGTGTTCAAGGCCTTGATGGGAATATCCGTTCGCAAACTGCCATCCTTCCACTTGTGGCCAAAAGAGTACGGCTCTAGAGAACCGTCTCGAGTCTTCATCATGAGAACGACAGGGTTAATAATTCCGGGTACAGCGGCCGATGCCAATACCGCCGACCAGATAACACAATCGGGGCTTGTGAGGTAGTTGCAAAGAATCGTCGGCGAATGGGGGTCAGCTGGCACACAGGTAACATTGAGAATGCGACCTGTTCGTTCATAAGCTTCTCGGAATGTCAAGGAGCCATGTGTCCACCAGCCGCATCGTCGCGCCCAGTCAACGGAGTCAAATCGAGCTCCAGTCTTCCACCATCGAGGAATCCAGACTGTAAAGGGTTCGCGGCAGGCGTTGATTCGCTCAGAAAGTGCTGGCACAAGAAGTTGCTTAAGCTCATCATTCGTTCGAGTGGCCACCAAAGCAGCTACTAAAGCACCACCACTGGTGCCAGTAATGACATCTGGTAGCAGATCCGCATCGAGCAAAGCTCGGACAACACCAATGTGATAGTAGGCAAAGGCTGCGCCACCGGAGAGACAGAGAGCTGTTCTTCCGTAGTTCGCATAGACGTGTTTGAATAGAACTCGCTTCTGCTCCATTTCGAGCTGCTTGGTGTTTATCAGAAATTTGATGCACTTCTCCTCTGCTTCTGGTTAGAATCTTCGTGTCTAGCTGGGACATTGGGGACTCACCTTCATCGAGGAAATTTTGTACCAGATTCTTGGTTCCGTAGTACGTTTGGCTGTACAACCTCGCGTTCTCAACGCCAACAAAATTATTCTTGACGCAAGCTTCGATCAAGGTCTTCAGCTCATCCACCGCTTTACCTCCATCACCCTTCTCGCCCTTGCTTTCTTGCTCTTCAGCGCGCAGTCGTGTCTTCTTCATCTGCTCCCAAACTCTTCGAACAGTCTTGGAATCGTAGTATGCGAAATCGTTCTCTTCCCTCCATGTTTGTCGACCAAGGTAGTTATCGAGCTCCTTTGCGGCACTTACCCAGTCCTCATACTTCGAGGCATTTCGCAAATTTCTTCGGAGTCTTTCTCGCTGGCCGCGCCATGTGAAGAAATGCTCGTACACCCAGATGTATAGTCTTGTCGAGAGATAGGCAACGGCAAGTCCACCCAGCCATGCAAACACGAAGAAAAGCAAAGGCCACTTTGAAAGTTGGTATAGATATCCCTCTCGGGTCTCGTCCTTGGTGCGGGTCCCTAGAAGACCTTCAACAGCCCCTTTTCCACCCCTGCGCTTTCTCTTGCTTCGCTTCGAACCACGGCGACGGCTATAGATCTTCTCGTTAACAGGCGCCCAATCGTTCTGCGCTGTGATAAAGGTCCCTTGACTCGGTGTCGGGGGAACAGGAAGATCTCCAGACGCCGCGTCTGCGGCGGCGGCGACAGCAGCGACATCATCCGCAAGGCCAGACTCGACCTGCGAAGGCCTCTTTGTCACACTGAAGGAACTCGGGCTGCGTGGCGACCGAGCGCCGTTTTCATCGGTCGGACTCTGAAGCGGATCAGGAGCCTGGAGCGCCTTCTCAAAGGCCTCCAAGTCTTGCGCATTGACGAATTCAGTGTCGACGTCAGGAAGAAGGGAGGGGTCGAAAGATTCCGGTGGAAATCCATAGACTGGATCACGAGGCAGTAGTGAGGAATACGACGAGGACGACATTGCGATCGATTTTACGCTGTAATCTCTAACCCATTGCTGACAGAAGAGAGAAATAAGTCAGATTTCTTGGAATCGTGAGATGTTGCAGTGGGTTAAGGGAGAAATTGATTACTATGATGCGAAGCTCTGTTGGGTTGCCTTGTGATGATTCTAGTAACATGACGTAGATTCCGTTGGGGAAACGGTACAGAGGTACATATTTTGGGGATCCATACCAGTCCATCTTGGCGAACCGAGGCCTCTATCGAACACCTGGTATCACCACCGACAGCGACAGAATGAGCCCACGAGCGCTAATCATGAGATGTAATACGCATAATCTCTCTCTAATTCTTGCCACCTTCTCTTTTAGCTACGGTTAAACTAGCCGCATCATGCATCATGATATGTGTCCCGACGATGCCTGGGCACAATAATGCCGTTCATGAGCTTCCAGCCGCCCCCTGTAAGCACCCTAGCACATAAACACCAGGGGTCTGATTTTTCCATCTTCAGGAGCATTCCCAACATGAGGCTCGGTTAGATTTTGTAGCAAGTAAATGTAGTAGAATTGCAGGACCAATGTTCGCCTAAGGGAGAATTCTGAGTCTCATAAACACTGGAAATCACTTGTCCTCTCTACCTCTCCCCAAAAGGACTCGATGTTAGGTATACCTCTCTAGCTCACTGCCTCACTTCTTCCAATCTCATCTCATCTTCCCTACTCCTTTATACGTACTGCGACAACCAGCGTATACCTTCGCCGTAGCCTTGTCGCATAACCACTGAGCACATGAAGAGCTCGATAGGTCGAATACCCTCGAGAGGGACCTTGCCCTTGCCGGTTGTCTGGTAAAGGCCGAGCTGGTGTCGCATCTCGTCCTCAGAGATAGCATCGGGATGGTCGATCTTGTTGCCGAGAATGACAAAGGGAACCTTGGAGAGCTCCTCCATGGACAGGAGGGCGTCGAGCTCGGCCTTGGCTTCACCGAATCGCTCGTGGTCCTTGGCGTCGACAAGGAAGACAACGCCGTTGACCTCGGGGAAGTAGTCGCGCCAGATACGTCGTGCTATAAAACGCTGTTAGATACATTTGCGGGGTTGAATGGGTGGTGTATTTGCGTACCCTGCTGGTGACCGCCGAGATCGAAGGTGGTGAATCGAACGTTGCCAATGGCAAGCTCCTCAGATGCTGCGATATCTCAGTATAAACGAATCGCTGATGCTTTCAAGGAGAATCTTACTGGGGTGAAGAGTGGGCTGGAGGATAGCGACACGGTCGTTCTGTAAATCCATCGTTAGTCATATATCCCCAAAACCGCCACCGCTGGTAACAAGTATCCCAGCTGACAACCATCCTTCCAACAATCCAACAGCATTGTGTCGACGCACCTTCAGCATGTGAAGCAGAGTAGTCTTTCCGGCATTGTCGAGACCCAAGAAGAGCAGCTTTGCGTGCTTGTTGAGCAGTCCCAAGGAGGACAGCACATCATAGACTATACGCAGCACGTGTCAGCCCATTCAAGTTACCAGTTGTTTAATCGTAAGTGAATACATACACCAGTTGACAATCCACATGTTGTGTGTGTGTATTAAAGTTGAGTATTAGGTTGAAATAAAAAGTGTGGTGTTATTATCTTGCACTGGAGAAAAAGAGTCGTCGTTATCGTTGGCGTCGTGGAATGTAGCTGGTGGTGGATTGTTAGGAGGCGTTGCCTTGAACCAAAAGCTGGCAAGAAAGGGACGCTGAAGTGGTGCCTGAATTGTAAGGCACATATCATCGTGCATGTCACGCCGTACAGTTCCGTCCATCGAAATTCCGAGCTGCAGGTCAGCTGGCACAAGGCAAATGGAGCAAGAACCGTGGCTAAAATTTGTATATCTAGGAACGTATAAGAATTATGTCAACTTGTCCTTTACTATAAGAGCATTCACAGTTCCATTGCCAAATTGTGGTGAATCGAAGCCCATCTCTAGGACTCACTTACACTAAAGTGACCAGTTGAAGACCACCCCAATGGTCAACGAGACTTACAACACTTACCAGTCCAATTGAATAACTGCGTGTAGTTTCATCCATCTAATTACTTTATATCACAGAAAGCGAACAATATATGGCAGAGAATCATTGTCGTGATTGATATTCCGCTAAATGCATTTATGTCATGATAGCCTCTCATCCAACGCCGAGCATGTAACCCAGTAATACCAAATGCTGTATCGGGTATCCAAGCAGTTCAAAATAAGCTCCTTTCCGCCAGTAGCGAGCGTTGTCCGGCCGCTTTATGCAGTATGACAAAGAAAAAAGAGAAAAAATATGTACAGGAAATCTCGAACATTGCGAGCATCCAGGGTCCATTATCAGTATATACAGTAAAACAATCTCGGAGACCTAGCCGAGAAGGTGTAAGAAAGGACATTTGAGTCATCAAGTTAAATCGTGTAAGATGTATCATCTTCGTCGTAACGTGTCTCGCAGTCTAAATTGAAAGCATGCTTAGATGGAAAGGACGTAGTTGGTCTGGTCCTTCTTGCCAGCCATAAGAAGGCCGAGTTCCCTCATGCGTTCCGTGCCGCGTCCGGGAACAGGCTTGCGCTCGGGGATCTGGCCACGTCGAGCGCGGTTGCAGTACTTTTGGTGGAACTTCTCCTTGCGTCGCTGACGCTTACTCTCCAGACCCTTGACGATATCGATAGCGCCACGGATGTGGGTATCGTTGTCGTATTTGACCTTGTGTCGGGCCTGCTTTCGCTGGTGGCACATAGCACCACCACGTGGAAGAGACTTGGTGTGAGTGAGCCCAGGGCGACCAGCCAGGTTGAAGTTGACTTGGCCGCAGCGAGGAGATCCAAGAGGAGTAGTGATGGGCTTGCGCATAGGAGCTGGGGACTTGGCCTTTCGAGGGGATTGACGGTCAAACAGAGGCTTGGGTGATCGGCCTCGGACCTTGGGAGGGGGTGAGTGATGACGCTTGGGAGGAGGAGAGCGGAATCGCTTGGGAGAGGCATGCTCGCTCTTGCGACGGCGACGAGGACGGTCACGCTCATGATGAAGATCCTCCATTTTGCCCTGGAAGAACTCATCATCCTCGTCACTTGAGTGATGAACAGGGTTGAAGATCTCGCCCTCGTTTTCCTCCTCAGGCTCAGAGGCAGGGAAACTGGGGTCGATGTCCTGAGGAATGACGCGAAGCTTCTCATTTCGTCGAGCTGCGAGGCATGAAAGGTAAGCTTCCTCGAGAGGACGGTCCTCATCCAATGTACCGCAGACAAAGTCAGTGCTGTCGGGAAGATCAGGAGCCTCCTCGGCATATCTGACGCGCTTTGAGCGACGGTTGGCACGCTGGTTATCCACGGTAGTGATAGAAGAGTCAGACTGTAACTCGTGAAGGGAAGGGCGGCGCATGAGAGTAGCGCCCGATCCGATATGAACCACAGATTTGGCTCCAGGAGTCCAGAGACGCATGTCATCGTCCTCATCATCCTCATCGGAGTCGGCGAATCCAGTCTCTTCATCGGTGTGATAGCCATCAGAGTCGTCATCGTCCTCCTCGTCGTCCTCTTCATCCTCGTCGAGCTCAACATCGAGTTCGTCGTCCTCATCCTCATCTTCATCCTCGTCCACATCATCCTCGTCGTCAACGTCAGCATCCTCCTCGTCCTCGAGCTCGTCTTCTTCCTCTTGCGCCTCTTCCTCTGCCTCGGTAGCCAGACGTCGAATGTTGTTCTCCTTGGTCAGAGTGTCATTGATTGTCAGTTTAGTTGCAACAGCATTGCTATCACGTCGGATCCAATCGTCCTCTCGGGTGATACCACTAGCAAACTCGTGGAACTGTGAGCCGTCTGTGGCAAGGTCAGAGGAGTTGGCGCGGAGAAATTTAGGACGCGACATGGAGTGTCGGCGAGGTGTGACCTGGCGAGGTGCGGCAAACGCCAGGGCTGAAGTTCGCCTGGGGGTTGAGGGAGATTCGGCCTTTGGTGTGACGTCCTTCTTGGCGCAGTTCTCGGTGTGCCGGGGAGGAGTGTTCTGAGTAGAGGCGGGTCGAGCTGGGCATGCAAACTTGATGCATGACTTGCGAGGAGCTTCCTGAGCAGAAGGCGCTTTGACCATAGGTTGGGATCGAGGGGGTTGTTCTTGGACCACGGGCTTGCCACCACATGCAAACTGAATGCTTCGCTTGCGAGGCTCCTCAGTCTTGCCCTGCTGTAGCCTGACAGCAGCACCTAGCAAAGAAACATGCGTAGGCTCGGCAGCACGTCCATCGTGCAAGCGCAGCATGGCCATTTCAGGGAGAGGAGGGCTTGGTGTGCTCGGTCTCGAAGGGCTAGTAAAACCAGTATCGCTCGTGAGGTCGGCGGTCGAAGCGAGGCTAATGTTGCTAACAAGGGAGCGACGTCGCTGGGTGTTGGCCATGGATCGTGAGATAGCCTGGGGAGTGTAGAGGTCGTCGTCTGAGTTTCCATTGATGGCCTTGGTCAACAGAGAGGACTTTTCAGTAGGAGGTCGAATGGTAGTTCGCTGGAAATCGTTGGCAGTAAACTGCTGCTTCTTGAGGGTTATCTCAGGCGGCTCGTCGGCCTCCTCGAGCTCTTCTGAACCGTGAGCCACCCATAGGGTGTCTGGGTTGTTGGTAGTCATATTGGTAGATAGAGTGCTTCGACTTTGGGGTGTAAGTGTGGGGGTTGAGCTGAAGGATCCAAACAGGAAGTTCGATTCGTGATCAGGAGATTAGGATAATAGTCGTTGAAGTAGTCGAGAAGGCGTGCAGTTGTATGTGTCGTATAGTAGTTGGGGTGCAAGACGTTGCGGTTGTGTTATTGCCTGGGCAATAGCAGCGTCGAAGGAGGCGTTAAAAGTGTCCCTGAGGACAGTGGTGCTATAACAGCAAGACAAACATCGTCAACTGCTATAGAGTAGAGTAGGTTGTTGGTTGGGGTGGTTGCTTTGTGCGTGAGGGTGCTTTGATATGGGTCGATGGCAGAAGTGAGATGCAATGCAGGGCCGGGCCGGACTGGGCTTTTGAGTAGAAGCTAGAAGAGGAGTAGAAAAGGCGGCTGATTCCCAAGTTGCAGGATTTCCCCAATCTCAATTCAGGGTGGCGTCTGTGCTGTGCTGCGTAGGTGGGTGTATGGATTGTTATGGGTGTGTGAGTGCGAGAGCCGCTGTTCTGTTTTTTGCGCGTGGAGACTGGTGCATATGACGTTCTCCGAGGGCGGGCACGAGTACGGCACCGTTTTGTAGTGTAACTCTATGTACAGTACAGTACAGATCAAGGTCTGAGACAAAGTTGCTCGACAGGGACAAGGGGGGGGGATAATGGGTGGAGGGATGCTTTGTAGATTGTTTTAGAGGAAACAACTAAAAACACTGAACAGAACAAAACAAAACAAAGAAAGGGCAGGAGAAGGGCGAGGTAATTATTTGAGGCAGTAAAGAAAAAGAGAGAGAGGGTGGCCTCGGGTCCCGTCTTTGATTTATTAATAAGGTAAGCCTTGTTAATCGGCGCGAAGCAACGAGAATGGAAAATGCAGGTGGAAATGAACGAAAATTGGGGGAATACCTGACGCTACAAGGAAGACGCGAGCGAAAAAAGGTACCGGCCGACAGTGGGCGGAGGTCACTTTCAGGTTGGGGCCAACGACGACAAGGAACGGGATGAAATTTAGGGGGGGCCGTTCCCTAAGATACCCTAAATTAAGAGGATGATGGGCGATGTGCCGTGCCAGGAGCGGGTAAAAAATGGAGTCCTGTTGACCTTTGTGCCCCCCCAGTGCCAAAGAAATTTTACTACCACGGGTCAGAAGCAGAGGAATTGACTGGACTGGCTGACTGGCTTGTTACATTTCACAGGGCGCCTTGTGCTAAGGGCTCAGGGCAGGGCTTCAGGTAATACGCTATCACCAATTGATGCTGAGGTGTGAGTGGACATGACTGACTGACTGACTGACTGACTTGAAATGACTGATGGAAGCCAAGTTTCGAGTAAGCCCCAGCCTTTAACCTTCTGAGGAAGATGAATTCCTGGTTCACGGCATATTTTTGCGCCCTTTTTTCGCGTCCTCCTGGGCTAGGCCTTTCGATGCCTAGATCGTTCCATGGCTTTTTTTTTCCTGCTGACTGTCTTGTCGCTGCCAGCACCTCAAGGGAGTAAGAAAACTTCTGACATTAAACCAGGGTGCCAAAATAAACTGGTCTAAAGGCCTGCTAAGATATACTAGGCTTACCTAAGTCTTTTTTGTGGCTTAGGATAGAGGTACCGAGTAGCAAGTTTTCTTGTCTCCCCTAGCCGCGAAAAAATAAAAAATGATGCCCTGTATGTGTCTTGCTCCGCTGCTGACGCTCCGAATTGAGTCCGCTTTTCCACAGCGCCGAGAAATAGAGCAGCCGTATAGGATCCATTCCGGTTCAAAATTACAGATCCAATCTTGAGGCGAGCATTTACGCATTCCGAGGTCTCAATTTCGGTACGCAGACCGCTCTCGACTCGCTCAGCCCAGTGCATTTCTCCCTTTTCTCTACAATAGACACATCCCTCCGAGGCCACAGTCAGATTTGTCCAGTCAGAGTCTTCTCAATTGACCAGTGGTGGCGCCTGTCAGCGACGGCCAAACTGAGATAGAGCGTAGATCCACGTTGTTCCCTGATCTACTGTGTGTCACACCGTCCTGACTCTATCCTGACTCTGAGAGGCCTGAGGGTTGCCGGGCAGTTTCAGGGTCACGACTCGCTGCTTCGTATACCGTGTGAAGATGACAGAGGGCGCTACTTGCACTGCCCTCCTCCAAGCCTCATGCTCGCATAATCATCCGCAAATACGGTACGGTACGGTACAGCACATTAAAGTTCTGCATCTTCTTTTCCAGAAGCAAACCGCCACAGAATTCTTGACCGTTGATTCATCATTCACCCTCGGCAGGCCCACAATGGAATCGTCGCTTGTAAACCTTCCCACCAGTTACGAAGCGTGGTTTTGGCCGTACTAAGCAAACACCAGCCGCTTTCATATTCGAGGCGGTGTATCTGTAAATCGCTGCCAGCATAGCACAGCACAGCAATAGCTGTTGATGTTGATGTCGCTGTCATGTTGTATTGGTCATTTGGATGGCTTGTGACTGACAATCAGTCACTTTGCCAACCAAATCCTCAGATGATAGACAATGACTTGACACACAGCTTGCTCGTTTCAGTACGCAGTCACCCCGCGCAAGGGACCACTCAGCAGCTAGCCTATGCAAGAAGGGTTGATGCGCAAGATGCGCCACAGGCCGCTTTGTTGATCTTTTGGCTGGAGGTTTGGTCTGTTACAGGCGTCGACAAAGCCTCGTCTGGTCTATCTCACGCCCTTTGTCAGTAACAATGCACAAAGAACAGCAACACAAGTTGCCTTTCGTCGCCTTCTTTCTTTGCCTTCTCAATCAGGCTTTGTTGCACTGAATATTACACGTTTCTACTCTTGGCTAACCCCAAGCCGTGGGGGTACAGAGCACAGCAGAGCAACAACTGATCCAGATGCTCGCCTCGTCGCTCTTCAACTTCCCCACAATCACCTGTTCCGTTCATGGCAGACTGCCTTTCTACTGGTGCCATTTCCGCACTCGCAAGCTAAGCTGCCGTCTGCGTCTTCGTCTGCGATCTACCCTTGCTTCAGGGACGCACGCAGTAACCGTCTTAGGTGTCATGTTGTCTCTCCAATCTGCATCAACAGCAACTCCTTTGTCCATCCACCAATTGAACCCTTCTCTTACAACCAGGCTCGTGAGCTCTCCCACATCTGGCCCACTTGCATACAGAAATGCATGCAATGCAAGCCAGAAATCTCCCGATGACGACAGTTTGGCATGGACATGGATGAATGGACATCGACATGGACATGGACGTGTCTCACTGATAGCTAGCCTTTCCATGTGCCCGCAGAATCAATGGGCGCATGAAATCCGAGTCAAGAATCCTTTCAGATCCTCAAAGATCATCTCTCAGATTTATTACAAAGGACCCTGAAACTGACTAATATAGCAAACAGAAACAATCGTCTCTTTCTCCTATTTCACAAGTTTATAGATGAAACGACTGAAAGGTCCTTTGTTCGACCTGAGCTGCGCGATATCCGTGCTCCTCGTGACTCGCAGTACTTCATTTAATACTGCGACGATCATGGAAGGTGTTTGAAACTGTCCAATCCTATCTGGCGCTGTTTACTGATCGCCAATTGCCTCGGTCTCTTCCCGTGAGTTGGAGCTGCATGCAGGCAGTGCAACCCCCCCTTGAACTTGCTTGAGCAACCAAGGAATGACATTCGGGGTCTCGGTCTTTGCGATAACGGACCTGTCTGATTTGATATCAGTTCTCTACTGGCGGCTATGTCAATTGGTACGCGTAGTATCGTACATACAACAGCACATTGGTCAAGACTGGCAGGCTGGCTCACTCTCACTCACTGGCTTCCTTGAACATTGACGCTCCTCGTCACGTTGACCCGTCCTGCTGGGCACTAACCCCGCGTTGTGAAGTCAAACCCCGCATCTTAAAACAATATGACAGTCGACGCGGTATCAGCGCGTAGCTGTTAAATTCGCATGTTACTCTGTTGTGCTTAAGGTGTTTGAAAGGGTGTCTTCTGCTCTCGCTCATGCAGCCTAGATAGCCTTTCTGAAGTTGACTGTCCAGTGTCCTTCACCCGCAGCCCACCCACTCTTTAAACAGGGCTCTGACATCGCGAGACTCCGGCGGTGAACATGCTATTTCTTTACGTTGTTGAAATTGCGGCTGGGATCACGAACAAGTAAACATCGAGTAAAATCAAAGCTACAAAGAGGATAATGATCACGAGATGACCGCCATCATGGCAACAATGGAGTCAGCTCTGTGCATTCAAGTTGCTCAGCATACCGCTAAGTAGTATATGGGATAGCCATTAACAGGATATCCTGAGAAGTTGTTTCGATACACTTCTCGAAATTGAGTGCATCCAACATACATAGACTTTGATCTAGCTGGTTTGGAGACCGGGCACATGAATCTCAAAAGTATCACATTGCGACACTGTTGAATGCTGAAGAGGATGCAGGTACATTTATCTACGGTAGATACCTTCAACTCATGCTCATCAAAACAATGTCACCACCGTGTAAGTCCTTACCCGCACCTCGCATGTCGACCCACATGCCGCAATGCTCCATCTCGCTGCATCGTCAAACAGACCCAGGTCTCGGCCGGTTATACCACTGGACTGGCCCGACTCAGAGGACCCATCATCGCATTGTTTTTACGCCGAAAAAAGAGAGGACAGTTGCGCGGTTTTTTGGCAAAGGAGGTGTGGACTGCTGCATGATGGGTTGTACAGCATTCGATGGAGTCTGAGGAGGTGAACTCTCATCTCATTTTCCCTTGCCGCTCTCCCTAGCCGGTTCCTTTCATCCTGAGAAGAGCCGACCGCCCGTGAGATGGCTTGATGTTGATACAACCGCAGGATATGGGTGCCCATGATTCAGCCCTTGGGAGAAGCCACATCTATAGACTGAGAAACAAGCATTCTTCGTCATGCAAGATGCACCCTCTATGACGATGACGGTCCCGGTCTTGTTGCCGGTTCAAATCTCTGCTTCTGTGGTCAAGTTGCCGATCAGGGACGGGAATTGTCTTGACATGCCCTCCTAGATCTTTGCCAAGAGATTGATTTTCTCCGAAGAGGGCCTGAGCATTTTCAACCTCTCGATGCAGCGACTGACAAGGCTGAATACCGACAGAAATTACTTTTGAAAAGTCTAACGGTCATTCATTACTTGTGCGCCGGAAACTTCCTTGCTCTCCCTGCTCGAGGATGAAGCCATTGTGGGTTCCTGAAAATTTGCTTCCCATCCAGACTTTTCTAGACCACAGCTTCAAGCTTGAATCTTTTTTTCACTCTCCTCTTCGTTCTCGGACCGCTAGTGTCGCGATGAGAATTGGCTTGAGTACTTTACGATACCTTCCCAAGGCTTCCTCCACTCACCGACAGTCCGTCGAGGTAGAGCTCGTAAAATGCTTAATGAAAGTCAATCGCAATTTCTCACCAAGAATGAGAATCAGCCACAGTCTGGCCGCGAATTACGGTCTCGTCAGTGGAGACCTCATCACTTTTTTCAGCTTTCAGCCTTCTTCTTTGAGCTCTGTAACTGTTGTTGAGTCCCACACCAGCTCGAAGGTTCAGGTTTTGGCTTTGCACACTTTGTCTCCCTGGTTCCTCCGAGATTTCCCTGTCAAAATGGCTGAAACTGTGATGCAATTCACTGCTCAGAATGTCTTGGCAGGGGCTGGATTTGAGAAACGTTAATTCCACTGCAGGTACTGTACAGTAACATGCTGTAACAATACAGTACTGTTTGTATATGGGCTGAAGTGTATTGCCAAGAAGGAATTACGCAGAAAGGTGAGATAAGCACAGCTGAACTTGTTTATGCTGCGCCAGGTTGATGATGAAAAGTGAAGATCCGTGACGCCATGAGCCACTCCTGTTGTCAAGACGATGCCCAAAAGCTACGTGTATTTCGTGGCAAAGGGAACTCTCAGAGTTTCACTTCTCACTCCGCAGAGTTGTACATGGAAGATCTCGGGCCTCACGGGTCCCGGGATCTTCAACTGCCAACGGACTCTCGAAGGCCCGAAAGTCCATGGGGTACGAATGGCGTGTTCCAGCGCATTTGATGGGTTGGATGAAAGCAGGCACAAGAAAGCGGGAAAGTTACCTGGCCGACTTGTTTCTGTGTCGTGTGAGGTCATGACAGCTCAGGTGATCGGCAATTGTACAGTACGCGTTTGAGTGCCGAGTCAGCGAGTCCAGATTTTTCCTGTTTATGTGGCTTTTGCTTTGGTGATGATGTTTGAGAGGGAGAACCCGGTTCCTCCGAACCATATCCGGCTCGGTTGTACTTTCCAGACGGAAATATCTGGATTAAAGTTATGGTCGTTTCGACATCTTGTCGTCATGGACGGGGGGGATTTGAGGGGTTGTCCAGTAGATGAAATCAACAGAATCTAAGGGATGATTCTTTGATACAGGGTAACCCACATCACACATGAAAGGCCATTCACGGAGTTGGATGATTTGTGCACCGTCGACTAATGTCACAATCAATTGAATCATCTCATAAGGCCCTTATGATAGATCTCTTTTGTCTTACGTGAGACTCATGAACAGTTGGGTTGTTCAGGGTCCATATTCGTATCACATGAAAGCTGTGCTTATTCTCCAGAGTCTCAAGGTACAACTTCTAAACAGGGTCAGACACAGCTGACTCTGTTGCTCCAAGAAGGTATCGTAGGGGCTTAAATGGGAACAAATACATGAAATATCTTTCAACCCAGTAAATAAATACAACTATGATACTATCCTTAAACTTATCTCAAATGAAAAGAAGCTTAATGTTCCTGTATTTTTCACTACAGAAAAACCAAAGAGTATATGCATAGAAAAACTCATGCTCTGATAATTCAGTGTATAATATCATTAAGCCAGATACTGACGTCTCGCATGTGAACCTGAGACTGGAATTCACGGTGCCTTTGCCCTCGAGCAGCAACTTCATAGTCACAGAGCGAGCCACAATGAAAAGGAATGAGATTGAAATGTCCCAGGCACAATTCCAGCATCACCATAGGTACTAGCTGATTCACATAACTTAGGTGGTCGTGAGATTGAGTGTGTCCTTCAAAGCATAACACCACCAATGTTAAGAGGCAAAGGCCTCAAGCAACTTCCGTCAAAATGCGGCTTCGGATATCGTCGTTAGTGCTAACTCTTGCCTACAGTGAGATAAAGTTCACTAGGAGAAGACGGCTTGGAGTGAGGCGCCGACACGAGTGAACATGTTAGTATGGTGGTTGTGTGCATGGCAGTCTTGGACAATCTCATGTTAGCACCTTCACCATGAGATACAGCATGCCTAAGAGAACGAGCTAACACTGATGCACAACATTGAAAGATGTCTAGAACATAACAGGCGAGAGGCTATTCACTCAACGATCGGTTGCTTCTTATTGTCGATTCTCCACCAGTAGTTTCCAATCTGCTGTATTGATCATACACACATGATGGACTCTACAGCATCTAAAGTATTGTAATATAGGAATCGATCCCCCGAACAAGAAAGTATAGGAATTGCACTTGATATAGCCTTTGATTGCACCAAAAAGACCTTAATTAACTATACTGGAGTTTGTGTTTATGGATTACTTATCTGTTGTGCTGGATCTACTAGAGGTTACACCAATATCTTTACCTCTCCAAGGCTTAAGCCACATTCAACTAAAGCTTGCACCTACGATCAGGTTCCCCCTCACCAACTAGACTCCCTTGAGCATCAAGTCACGACCATGATCAAGATCACCAGAATCTGAGCAGTACATCATTGGTACCATTGACACCTTCGAGCCTGAGCTCAGTCACACAGAACGAAACGCGCCATGGCGTCGATGGAAACCCTCCCGATTGAGGCAATCTACAACATTGCAGACCTCGTCATAGAAGAGGCATTTGATGAGAACATCTTTGCAAAAACTCAATTGGCTCTGGCCCAAACAAATCACCACTTCTATGATATCGTCAACCCTCGACTTCGTGCAGCAAGCTATTGCTGGGCAGCTCGAGAGGGAAGAATAGATATCCTCAAGAAAGCACATGAGAATGGCGCGAATCTAAGCGGGACTGGGACGATGAGGCCTGAAGAAAGAGCAACACCTTTGCACTACGCCATCAAGCAGGGACATCGTGATATCGTCGAGTACCTCGCTGAGATTGGCGTGGATCCCCATGTGCCAGCCAGAGGAGTCTGCGATTGCTGGAGCGATATCGAGCCTGTAAGGCCTTATGCCCTTCACATGGCCATCCGACATAGTGGCTTTGAAGGAGCTGAGAAAATACTTGTCCAGAAGCTAGGAGCATATTGGACATTTCAGGGAACATCTGCTTTGGATCATGTTGATCCTCACGATGTTAATGATAGGGAAATCATTGACTTGCTCGTTAAACTGCCCGGATCAAGACATGCTGCTGATGCATTACGGTACGCTCTCAAGTGGAACGAGCCTGAGCTTGTGAACCGTCTGCTTGAGAGGTCTGACATGGTTGCCTCTGCGCCTGATTCTGATGGTCAAACTCCTCTCTTCTGGGCGATCCAGTACAAACGAGTGGATATTGTTAAGTTACTGCTCAAGCGTCAATAAGTTAATCCTGGTACACCTGACAGGAACGGTTTCACTCCCTTACAGGTGGCCGTTGGCGTGAGAAGTTTACCACTTGTTGAACTGCTCCTCCAATGCGAAGAAACCAATGCTCGCAGGACTGACGCAGGAAAACCCAGTGCCCTCCACATTGCTACCGCGCGTGGGGAACTACAGATCGTGAATGTCCTCTTAGAGCAAAACGGTCTTGATGTAGCATCCCCTGATTCAACAGGGAACACTCCTCTACACTGGGCTGTCAGAAGTCGTGATAAAAAGTACCATCCAAGTTTGGTTATGATATACAATGATGATGACAATAACGACGATGATGAAGACGAAGACGATGATAGTGATACTTTTGACGAACCTGGGTATAGAGAAGAAAGCCTCGACATCATCAAACGATTACTAGCCAGACAAGAGGTCAACGCGGGAGGGCACGATTAAGATGGACTCACCCCTTTACACCACGCTTGCTTGATAGCAGAATACGAAGTTGTGGCGCTCTTACTTCAACGTCAAGATGTTGACCCCAAAGCTCGAGGTATAACTGGGCAGACACCTCTCCATCTGGCAGCATCGAATCATCAGCTAAGTGCAAAGAGGATAATGGATTTGCTTCTCGAACAACCGGGCGTTGAGATAACCGAGGCCGATCACGATGGCCGGACTGTCCTGCACTACCTCTGTGGCGGGTATGAAAAAGAGTTCCCAGTCCTCGATCTGATCGAGACCGTGCTTCAAGCAGGCGTCCCGCTTGACCAGTAATCTGCGACTGGGTTGATGGCCTTCCATCAAGCCATCTGTAGCGGATATTGGAGTGTCGCTCTGTTTCTGCTCGACCATGGTGCAGATCCCATGGTTTCGAAGCGTTTCAAGTACAACAACAGTTTGCTGCATATCATCTTGAAACATTCTGACCGCGACGACGTAAAGAGCGAACTAATCGAGAGGCTCATCGAGAGAGGCATTGAAGTCGATACTTACACTGATTCGCCTGTTTTCGATCCCCGGTTCAATGAGGACGACAAAATCGAAAAAGCCATAGGTATACGATCCCCAGATATTCTTGTCGGCACAGATTGTACTCCGCTCTTGTTGGCAGCAATGCGCGAGTACAGCCTCAATAACATGAAGATACTCCTTGATGCGGGAGCAGACCCGAGTGCGCACGTCATCATCAGAGATGTAGAATTCGAGGGCAAGACGAATGGTAATCGTCAAGCGTTTCTGTCAGGAGTGTTCCGGCATATCTGGGAGCCTTTTAGCCCAGGCGACAGCGAAATTTTAGAACATGCAGAGCCCATCGAATTGTTGCTAGACTTTGGGTCACGGCTAGACTTTGATGGTCCAGCGGATAGTCCACTTCAGGAGGCCTGTAAAGCAGCAGAAAAAGGACATTTTGCTTTGTTGAAGATTTTGCTGGAAAGCTCAAAGGCAAGGATTGTCAGCGAAAGCCATGTTGATAAGTTGATCTCTGCTTATAAGGACAAGCCGGAGTACAGTCAAATTTGCCAGATGCTGGAATCTTTTAAGCAAAAGGTATTATTCATCGATTAATGTTGGGGTTCGGCTTGTTGAAGCCGTTGGTGTTAGTTAGGGGCATTTAGGTACCGGCACTTTATCGATGTCATGTAATATATATATTAGTATAACAAGCAACAGGAACATCATATCTGAGTAGAAATCTTCTGGTAAGACAACTGTGCTTCACGTAGAATTTATAGAGAGTGTGTAACTGTTCTCTGTCGGAGGACTCTCATGGGTCGGTTGTAAGGACAAAGGAGGTCATGTGACCTAGCACGTGCCCATCCATGGGGATCGGATTTTCCCGCTAGCCGAATCGCGAATTGCTGCTCCGGCAAAGATTCGTGCCAGCGGCCTCATTTGAGCTCACCCAAGCAACAACCTCATCCACCAGCTCAGCCCATCATGAACTCCTTCCGCGTTGCCCGTGCGGCTCTCCGAGCTCGCCCCTCCGCTATCCGAGTCCCTCTCCAGCGAAGAACCTACGCCGAGGCCGTCCCCGACAAGGCAAGATTCAGCGAACCCCGTGCCCCGGCTACGACTGGGTTTTGCGTACCGAACCCGACTGACCGTTATCGCAGATCAAGCTGAGCCTTGCCCTCCCTCACCAGGTATGACACCGCCCGCGCGATACCCGGATCGACGAATACGATTGCAATTGGACCCTTACGATGATGGCACCGTCGCCAATTGATTGATGCATGGGAGCTAATTGCCGCACCGCAGTCTATCTACAAGTCCCAGGATGTCGTCCAGGTCAACATCCCCGCCGAGTCTGGAGAGATGGGTGTCCTCGCCAACCACGTTCCTTCCATTGAGCAGCTGAAGCCTGGTCTGGTTGAGGTTGTCGAGGAGTCCGCTGGCTCCAAGCAGTTCTTCCGTACGTCATTAGTTATAGATCCAGATCCAAGATCCAATTGCCCGAGGTCGACAAATCGCTGATGGAATTATTGTCTTAGTCTCTGGTGGATTCGCTACCGTTCAGCCGAACTCCGTCCTCAGCATCAACGCTGTTGAGGGATACCCCCTTGAGGACTTCAGCGCCGAGGCCATCCGAGCCCAGATCGCTGAGGCCCAGAAGGTTGCCAACGGCAGCGGAAGCGAGCAGGATATTGCTGAGGCCAAGATCGAGCTGGAGGTGGGTTTCAGACGATATACACTTGCAATTGAGTTTACTGACGAGGGAACAGGTTCTCGAGACCCTGTCTGCGCACGTGAAATAAGTGTACAGCGAGTTTGTTGTGACGGAGGCCCTTGTACATCAATATTCTACCCATATTTAGCACGAAAAGCTGTGACAATTGATACCAGTTCTGGTTGTGCTCCTCCTAAATTTCACCTTTATTCCTCTGCTCAGTGACTCCTTCCTCATTGACCCTCTATCTTTCAGTGACGTTGATAGGCAATGAATGCAATGGTTGACACAGCGCTGTATTCCACAACTTCCACACCTGCAATTGTGAGGTAGGATGGACTTTTCTCTCCCTGCCATTAACCTCACGCTCCTGATTTGTGACTCCTAACTACAACATGCCACCCCTTTCTGCACATCGCGTATTATTACTCTTTATCGACTACTCGAACTTCTGGGCTATCGTCGGTCGCCGTCTTCCTGCTTCGTAGCAGTGTCGCATGGCTTCTGTTACGATTAGCCAATCTCTTGAATAGCATACCATCCCTAAACTCAACATCACGATATGATCCCTCCGGGAGTCGTCGGTGATCGTGTTCGCCAGCTCCAAACACTTAGTGAAACGCAAACCGCGAGTGGGCGGCCTTCTGACACTTCTGAGCGACCGAGTAGAAGCACCACGATCGGTTAGGGCCCAGGAGTGGCCAGTGGTAACAAGAGCCGCACATCGAGAGATACACTCCCGAGACAGATATCCTCAACTCTATCGCAGAAAGACAATCCAAGGTTCAGTGCTGTCAGGGGCTCCGGGGGAAGAAATGCATCAACGAAACCAAATGTTCCTGGCTTCCGGCCTAGGACGAGCTATGGACGAACTACCTCGAATCGACCGAGCCAGGCTCTTCGATACTCAGCTAGTACAGACATGCTTCCTTCAGAATCTTTCATGTCCTCATACCTTGACTCGACAAACCGCTCTCGTACTGCAAGCTCCACAGAGAAATGCCAAGATGCGATGGACATCCTTGAGCAGTATGGAATCTCTAGACCCGCGGGATGGTTCTCGGATGGCGACGCTGGCACGCCAGATCAAATCAAACAAACAAAATCGATGTTCTCGCAGATCTGTCACTCGTGCGGTAACCCTCTCGCTTTCGAACGGTATTGCTCGCACTGCGGCCACGATTCTTGTATGAAGTGTACGGGAGAGACCCCTGGACAACCCCTTGGTCACAGGGTCCTCAACAGTTCAATACAGTATCAAGAACACTCTTTCATAGACAAGATACCTGAGCTACCAACCCAAAGTGAATACCCCGAAAGCGAACGCAGTCATACTACACGGACTACAGTCGATACTGCTTATCGTCGTAAGCTATCAAGGTTCGCATCAGAGCCAGATACACCAAGGACATCCTTTAAAACCAAGACGCAATCTCGCCAAAGACCGAAAACTGATCACAACACCTTGAAGCCCACTCGGAAGAAGACGATTGCGGCACCAACAGAGATCTCTAGCTCAGTGAAGAACAACCCCTTTTTTGTGGCAGACAGGGGAATGAAGAAAGAAGCCCCAGAACCTGAAATCACGACGAGATCAGTGCAAGTGGAACGTAAACCCAGGCCCTCAGACTGTGTACCTAATCGTCTCAAGTCCAGCTCGCCCCGCGTTTCTCACATAGAGGAACAATGCCCCAACCCTGGTTGTAGAGCTACACATGATGGTCACCATCCAACGCGGCATAGCATTGGTTGTGCGACCCGGCGTAGTCCAGGAGCACAAGTGGCCGAAGGTAATGATTTGGATGTGATTGATACAGATGAACATAACCCTAAAGAGAAGAAGCACACACGGTCACTGAGGGATTCACCATCCCGAAGCAAGTTACAGATGAAAATTGACCAACTCTATCATCATGGACAAGATCTCCATCACTCACAGCATATCATAGAGCATTTATCAGCTGGTGTGCAGACTCTCGAGTCTTCTACGGATGAGAAACTCACGAATGGGCAAGACGGGCGCATGCGGGCGGACGGCTACAGGTTGAGGGTACAGAGTCAATATGGCATTGATCACTCCTTGAGTCGAGACGAGACTGTCACAGTAGCAAAAGACACTATCGAACACAATCTGAACGAAGAGCCGGCAGTGCCTGACGAGATTGAGCCACAGCCACCTAATCTTACCGGTTATCATAAGGGGGATCGGCATCCGAGCCCAAAGTCTCATGAACCCCATGACGATACCCAACCCAAGGATGCCCATTGGATAAAGTATCCTATCAACAATAACAAGACCCATGACGCGCCGAGAGACCACACGAGAACATTGAATTCACAAATAGCTAGTGAAAAGTCCGTCTCTCAGTCCAAGGGACCGAAGAAAGGCCTCAACACCTCACCAGAGGCAAATGAAAGGATTGCGCCACCAGCTCAAAACAAGTCCTTGTCAGACAAAGGCCATGATACTGATCCCAACTCCGGGAAAAGGATTGGCAAACTCGATGAACCCGTTCCTGGGGGGAAAATGTTGCCCAAACCAACTCCACGTATCAACAATGACTCTGAAAGACCGAAAGCCGAGGCTACCGGTATCTCGTCATAGAGGACGCAGTTAAGGAAGGTCGATAGGTCTTCAGAACAGCCACGAAGTCAGCAACTAACCCCTTCCCATGTCGAGAACTGGAGGCGTGAACTCAGCAGTGTAAATCATCGTACGCCACTACCTGAAAAAGACAGGAAGGATAGTTGCTTCAACTGCAATCCTACTCAGTCATCATCACCTAAGCAAACAGAGGGTGGTTTTCAGATCTTCGTTGAAGATGAGTCACATAACAAGACTGAGAATGAATTGAGTGCTGCGTTTGAGTCACCCATGCCTCGGCTCAAGGTAACAGACATTGAGCATTCCCTCGCTCGCAAGAGTGTCGAGGAATTACTGGCCAAAAGTCCACAGCCACAAGAGATAGCAGTAGAGGAGCCAAAGAGTACGAGACTCCTGAGCATAACAGGGGATCGATCTCGCAACGACTCTGAAATGTCAACATTGATCTATGACCCTAGACCTGTGATGCCTTACAACCACATGTGTGCTTAGCGAGCACGCTACATGGACCTCAAGAGCCAAGTTGACGAACTTGGGCTCGAATCAGGTCGCCCGTCGCCAGCGAAACAGACTCAGGGCGTGTGCTTAAACCCTAATGGCGATGTTTACATTGAGGGCCTCACAGTAGTGATGCATTTTAGAGGCAAGGATGACTTGGTGATCAATACAGACTTGAAAGATGGTCTACAGGAACACATGAGGCAGCGATAGAGCAGAGGTTCGCAAGCGTAGGAAGGTTAGAATGGTCAGTATAGACCGGACCGGACGGAGAGAGTATTGCTTTTTTGATAGTTTATTTGTTATTAACTTCAGTATTGGTACACATTGACCTACAAAGTTGGAATCATTGGTCTTCATTGGTCTTGAGGCTTCTTCACAATCACATCGTGACTCGAGCACATGAGAGCAGTTCGTTCGTATGTCAAAAGCCATGACAGCGCACTGACATCGAGTTAAGGACGCTATCGGCGGATAACAACATCCTTCTGCTCCATCTTTCAACCTCAACGGCGTTACAGTCCAACGTCAGCAACCGTAGCGAAACTCTAGCTGTCAATAGCAGTCAGCCAACAGGGACGATTCCACAGCTTCCCGGTCTAAGCCCCGGGCCCTACTGCAGCCTCCCCTCTTCCCCGGTTTGCCAGGTTCTGATGCTGAGAAGATGTGCCAGGGGGGTGGCCCGGAGCAAAAATCCTCTAGGTTCTGAGAAGCGGTGACAGGGGTTGCTGGTGTTCTTCTGACTTTTTTTTTGTATACATAGGTAGGGCTGGGGTGTTGAAACCAGGGTAAATCGACCTTTTGGTTTTTGACGTGATAGACCCCTATGTAACAGAGACAGGATTTGGAATGTGACTGTTGTGTTGTGAGTGAGGCGAGAGCAGGGTGTAACCTAGAACAGGATCGACCTGTGCTGCGTTTTGGCGAGGATGTTTGGAGATAGGATGTTGCCTGTTTGACCAACTAGAAGGATACACGAGATGTCAAAAAAGCAGTATGATCTCACTTTGGAGTAGGGATGAAGCGGATTTCGTCATGTGCGAGCGAAACGAACCATTATATCAAGACGGAGGGCGTCTGCTGGGGAACAAGTGTGTGTTCTCACATTAGATTCTTACATCAGTTCCAGTGCCGCCATCAGTGAATGCTTCATTTGAAGCGGTGAGAGAGAGACAGACAGGAGCTGAGTTGTCGGTGAAACCCCTTCATTGTCTTTCCTTGCGTGTTGTTAGCGAAAAACCCAACCTCATGCAATGCGTGCTCGCTATGTGCAGGAGAACTTGTAGTACATATGCAGCCGTCAAAGACACAGCTGCCAGCATCGAATTCCAAACTGCATCTGCATCCTTTGCCAGGGGGTCCCATGCTTGCTATACACCTGGCCATCACATATACTTCTCTTATGCACGTAACAACGCAACAGACATGAAAAAAGTTCCGACCGCGCAGAGCTTCACAATGTGAGTGAAAGCGGTCAAGGTGTCGAGGGCGACAGCGGTGTAAGGGAGAACTACACGCGAGTCATGCCCTGGAAGTGTTACTCGGTAAACAATACACTTGTGGGAGTTAGTGGACCTTGGATCCGGCAGTTGAGAGAGCTAAGCAGCTCCGTGTCTCACGACACTCCATCCATCGTGCGGCGTTCAATAGTCAGAAAGAGAGAGGAAGAGAAAATAATATTGGGTTCGCAAACATCACAAGACCCCCGGATGTGCTCCATGGATCATATGTAGGCAAACATTGGCGAGAGCCACGGTTCATAAGCACTGTGTAGCATCCCAACGAGCAAGCAAACAAGGTTGTCCAGGAATACGGATATCATGGAACAACCCAAGCGCCAGGGTCATGGTCCGTCCGGGTCCGGGTTCCAAGTTCCGAGTAGGTCCAGAGCTTGAATCACAACGATAGAAAAACAGAAGCGAGGATAGAACATGTCCATGAGATCCGGGCGCTAGCAAATAATCAACTTGGATGGGGTACGTATGATTGTCAAAGCCTCAGGGACTTTTAGTGCGCTTTGATCCAAACTTCCTCAGGCATTGCCAAGGTCTGTGCTTTCGTTGCTCTGTCTCTGCGTCTATAGTCGGGAATGAGCTGTAACAAACGATTCGATGCCTGTCAGCACTTGTCGCTGTCAAGATCGAGTTCTATAGCTTGAAATCGTTGAGCCTCAATCCCCGGATTCCGACGTCCACCTTGAACACATGACCACCGTTCTCGCGGCTTGATCCCTCGCCCTCGTCGTCCTCGGCAGTTGTTATGACAAGCTCAGTACCGACAAAGTGCACACAAGTGGTGTTGTTGGTCGGCACTTTGACCTCTCCAACAATCTTGGCTGTGTTGGGGTCGATTCTAATGACACGACCTTCTCCATATACAGCTTGCCAAAGGAACCCGTCTACATCTACACGGAAGCCGTCGGGCTCGCCTGAACCATCATGGTTGTAGAAAACGCGCTTGTTAGAAATTTCCCCAGACTCGGTATCGAAGTCAAAGGCATAAATCTCTCTGGCATTTGAGTGTGTCACATATAGTGTCTTTCCATCAGGAGACCAACCTGGTGTGTTGGGAATTGTCATATTAGGTAGCTTGACCTCTCGTGACTTGGCGTCCATTAGATAGACCGCTCCTAGATCCAACATGTCAGACTTGAAGAACAAGAGATGCAACGTAGAGTAAATAGACAGGGTCCTGGTGTTGGTGCACCGTTTTGCTTTGGGCAGGGTAGGGTTACCTTCAGGCTTAAAGGGACCGAGTCCAAAGTCTGTCATTGTACCCAGCCAGAATCGACCAAGAGGATCCACGCCGCCATCGTTACTTCGCAAACGCTCATTAGCGGGTTGTTCGAAAGGCTGAATAAGTTCGTATGTCTCCTTCTTGACATCGAGAACAGCCAGCCCATACTTGACACCAATGGCGATGCGTTCCTGGGGATCAACCCCAGCAATGTTTGCTGTGACAGTAGGGCACACGTCCAGTTGAATGGTTTTTAGAGACGAAGGGCCTTCAGCCATCTTCACATAATGTAACCTCTTATTGCGGATATCGACAAAGCGCAGATTGCCCGTTGATTCCTCATAGAAAGGTCCTTCACCCAACAGACAGTGTGTCTCAAGCCAAGGCTTCTCAACCGTCCATTGCTGAATATTGGCACTCATTGTCAATAGATTCTGTATGAGTCTGATATCCTGTTAGTTTTTTTTTCGGCAAAAATGACTTGAAAATAAGGCTATATACCAATCAGTAATGGGCAGTAGCGGGCGGGGTTGAGGTCAGGATGATGCTCTACGATGTATGAGGGGAAATCGAGCGGGCCAGAGCAAGCGAAGTTGAGAGTGGGGAGCTCTCGTAATGTGTTTTGATATAAAGGGCTATAAAGCATATGCGGGCAGTACCGAAATCAGAAGGAGTAAGAAACAAGTTGGAAGTGAAGGAACTCAAAAGAGAAAACAGATTATTCCGACGCTTCGATTATGGATAAATCCAATGAAAGGCCACTCATCCGGTTCGGCACGGACATGGTTGAGTGTGCTCCGAAGCCAACTCCGGGCCTGCCGGGCCTCAGATCCGGTCTTTATTTCCTTCAAATTGCCATATTCAGACGGCCTACATCGATTGCGTTTAGCAAAGTATGGATCTTGGTTCTGACTGCAGTGGAATTCCACTTTTCAGTCTCTGGCAGGGCCGTAGTGCATCTGGGTGTCACTGAGATGGGCAATATGGAAGCCCCCCAGGTCGAATATGGACTCGGCCACTCAGGTGGTCCGACCAAATGTTGGCTTGTTGTGGCGTTGTCTGACCAACACGCTGTAACAGTCGATCTTGCTTGGTGAAAGCCGCGACCCAGACTGTCGGGACGTATGGTGTCGCGCAAGAGACGTAATTGGGCAGCAGAACTCGATTCAATTGTGCACAATCGCGGTGCGCGCTTGCGGCTGTGCGTGTCGGGTCTCAACAACGGCCGCAGAATGCATAGGTACTTGACATGTGTAGGTATTAGACGCGGATTCTCGAGGGCGGCAGCTTGTTTAAATTGCCGCGCTCATCGCTGGACAGAAGAACGATAACTACTCAGTACGATGGTGAAACCAACCATCGCATCGACTGTTTACTTTTTCAAGACTCATTTTACTGCGGGCTTTGAATCTCTGGTGTTGTTCGTCTTCGAGTTGCACGTGGGGCAAGATCAAGATCGTTATGGCCAACCCCCACGCTCTTCAATACCGCAACACAGTCATACTCGAACCTTTCCCAGGACGAATACCGAAACTCATCTGCATTCTAATCCGATGGATGACTTCTCTCATCAGAATAGGTAGCTTGGTAAGAATAGTAAGCGAGCATGACCAATGAAAGCCTTCTACTCCAGGTGAAAACTTCGTCGCATCCTCACATATGCACGCCAACAACGTACTGACGTGGTCAACGATCAATTCACCCGATTCGAACAGAAAACAGACATTCGCGAAGCATCGTGAGTTAAAACCCAAGAACGCTTTCAAGGGCTCGCCAGATCTTCCCTCCGGCCGCGGAACCATCAGGTCGTCATCGGGCAGCAACACCACCCTCATGGCGAGCAACTGGAACGTCAAAGGACAACGCATCAAGTACAGCTCAACCTGCAGTTCTCACGCATCTGTCGGCCGGTCCAATGTATGCAAGCGAGACACACACTCACACCGCCCTGCTTTGAAGTAGCAAAGATGCTGCAGCAGTAAAAAGGAGTGAAGCGGACGCGGCACCGTTGGCTGACAGATGCCTACCAACATCGTTACCCGCATTCACTAGCTATGCAGTGTGTGCAGTCGTTGGTCAGTGGTGCATCGATGCTGTGCTGCTGCATGTCGTAGATGCAAGAGTGGGCTTCTGCATGAACCAGGCCCAAGCTATACAGCTTACTGTGAACTATTTGGCCTCGGTTATATGACACCTCGACCTGCTTGGTCTTCAGTTGTTAGGGTCGTGTGGGTAAACTCCAAGAAATACCACGCTGCCAGCGCATCCTGGGCCGCGACAAGACGCAACGCACGACAGGGCAGGGCAAATTAGCTGCAGATGCAATGCATGCCATAGCTACAGATGTTCGTTGATTAGCTAGAAACGTTTTGCGTGGCTCTTTGACCCCTGGCTGCTTTCCCTGACCGCTCGTGGTCACGGGAGGCGTCGTGGGCCCACGATCGCCGCTGCTAGGCCGGGGATAGTTGTCGAGGCTGAAGGGCCAGAACATTGATCTCCTCTGCACCCTCCGCCCTCCTCAGCACAGGCACGAAGCGGTATAGAGTTTCGGGGAATAAGGCCACGTCTGCAGCGTCTCAGCATGGGTTATGATGTCGTTGGACTTTAACGAGGTGATAGCTTGAGAGGACAAAAAGGTTGGCCATCGCTCCAAGGCAGGGGTGAGGAGGGCAACGTAAATGGCGGCAACTTCATGAAATAAACCTGGGATACCATCATTAGCTTTTGGAGATGGGCGGAAGCCATATCATACGCGCAGAGGACCGAACCAAAGACAACTAAAGTAATTACTAGGGACGGGCCGGTGTAAGAATGGGGAGGGCGTTAACATGGGATGTCTGACATAGTAATTGACAAACATGCGTTTCGGGGCTGATTGTAGAAGCCCATGAGCATCAAGGGAAGGGGCTGATCCTGATACTGGCGACACACTTGACTTGTTTCATGCTTTCTCCTCAGCCTCGCAGCTTCAGTCGTCCTTGTGCGCTCTGCTGGCCAAGTAGCCAAGGCACTGCTTGGGTGAGTCCTGCAGGTTGATGTTGAGGGTGACAGCCACGCAGATGTCTGTAATCTGAATGTCGAACTTCATCTGTATCTGTGTATAATTACACAATGATCGGAGGAGGTGATGGGATTTCACCAATAATCCTACCCCCGCACTGATGAGACCGCCACCTCATAAACTTTTTAATTATTGCGTCTTGTTAATATTCAAGGCTTTCGGCTATCCTTTCAACGATATCCCACCCCCACCATTATCGACACCATAATCAAATTTGAAGTTGTTATAGTGTCGCGAGTCGTGTGGTGCGTAGCTATGGCCATGAAAATGAAGGAAAACAGGAACCATGCCAGAATAGTTAGTATAAGCAATTTTCAATAGCTAGGCTGAAGGATCAAGCTGATGTAGCAAGACTTGAACCAGAGACTTCGGCTTTGATCAGGGCGCCTTGGCCCAGCGGCATTCACACGATGCCAAACACTAAACACGCCCCGTCCCGTGCCTCTCAACGCCGCAACGTGCCGCTGAATAGAACTTGTTACTTGATGTGACAGCGTTTCAAGTCAACCTTCGTCCAACAGTATTGACGTTGAGTCCACCTCATTTCGCTTTTGCGGCGGATTCATTTCCTGGGGAGTCTGAAATAAATCACCATGGGCACAATCACAGCGACGTCACACCACCCCTGGGCCGCGCGCATCTGTGCGAGGTATGCCAATCTAAGATCAGCTAGGTACATAAAGCCATATCAATATCTCTGATTGTTTGCTTTTTGTCCATTTTTATGACTAGTCAATGGAGTGGTGCACGCTAGTGCTTCATTTGGTGGTCTTGTACTTGTAGGCGAGGGGATAACTAGGCATTCTTAATTGTGCCGCGGCAGCGCTGAAAGAGTCTGGCTTAAGCCCGTGGGTGACTGGTAGTGATAACCTAGCATTCGTTACTGCGGCACGATCTAATCCACGCGTCCTGCGCGTGACATTATCGATAGGTACGTAATGCCGCGCCTGATCGTGAAAGCTTGCTAGACTCCAACCATTGCCCCGGTACGCGCGCCTGTGCCAGTAAGAGCTCCGACATCCACTCAATGCAGATTGGTCCTTTCCATTAGAGACAACTGTCATGGATGGTTGCATCTGCACGCCGGCGGGCCTTGCAGCCCTGGACCAGGACCCCTTCCCCGGTAGAGCCCCCTTGGCTATGCAATTCACCGTGACCCGTTAAGAATGCTGTCGTTGTGCGCATTGCCAGTGCGTCGAGGGCCCCTCGTTGCACCCACACCCACCTCTCGGCCAATGTACCGTATATCAACGCTCCAGGGGTTTCTGAGGAAGAATATCGTGAGAACGGAACGATCAACAAACATCAAGAACTTCGCATGGCCTCTGCCATGATGGGGGTGGAAGTGAAAGCACTCATGGCATTATGAGCGCAGTCTTCGAGGCATCCTATAAATGAAGTCCCGGAGAGGAAAAGGACCGTAGACTCTCTGTCAAGACGTGAAATGCGTATTGGGATCAGTCTTGGCGATGCCAACAACACCGTGTCGGAGTGTTCATCATAGAAATGGGCAGTCACAATAGTTCAGGGGCTTTCCGCCTTTCCGCGCAAGAATTTGTGCGACATGGCATGTCGTGGCGTGAGATGTGTGCAAGTTTGAGTTAGAAGAGTTGAAGTTGGAGTCGACGTTGGCTGGGGATAATGATTGAGATGCTCGGAAAGGGTTTTCCATGATTGAGTGCATGGAGTATGTAGATAGATATTGATGTGGGTGATGTTGAGGGGAATTGCTAATTACGGCACGAACGTGCCTGCTCTTCTCATTTCATTGATGCCTGCACTACCTAAGGTAACGACAGCTCTTGCGTGACTGCCAATTTAGTAGACAGCGGCTATAGACGAGCTGCCTACCGTAACGGGTTCCTTCCTTCCCTTGACCAAGCTCAAGTGATTGACCATTTGCTTTTCCTGCCAATGGAATCTCACATCAGTTGTTGATTGATTCTTCGGTAGATGAGTACCTATTTTCGCTTTTGATACCATCGTCATTATCAACATGGAACGGCAAATTATCCAACTGAGTTGACTTCTCTTCTTTCACCTCAGAGGGTGTCTTTAAGAATACATACGGCCTTGCCTCCATCTGCAGCCCTGCCCTACCTTGGCTTCCAACGTCTCTTTTATGTCTCAGTCACACATCTCAGGGCAAGACAATGCAAGTGACTGCTGTCTTGTGCGGATTCATGGCTCTCTATTATTCCGGTTTGGGTTTTGGTGGGCGACCCTATATGCAATGCCATGTCATCATGAACGACAATGATCTACTGTGTATGCGAGCTTGCAACATCCGCATCCCATTCGAGGCCTGCGAAGCTTGCCCACATCAGTTCGAACTCCGTGGATAATCTACAGTTTGCATTTTTGCGAACTCTGGCTTTGGGACATGAGAAAGAAAAAAAGAAGAAGAAAAAAAAAAAAAGAAAACATATCAACTAATGTAACACCAGTTAATTAGAACGCAATCAACCGCTGAAGGAACCAAGACCTTGCAACGACTAGCCAGGGTCAGTTAGACTAAGGTCCGCACCACCCAAAACCACGGACACGGGGCGCAACGACGATCTTTTGTTTCTTTGTCCCATCTGATTCTCAGCTCTCCCATGCAGACCTATTCCCGTACTGTACTGTAAGTATGTACTGAATCTTGGCTAGCATAGCGGTATCTGGACAAGTGGGCTCGTCCTTGTCGTCTCTTTTCTCTTCTGCTTTGCAACCTCATGCCCAGTGTTGCTTTTTGGATTTACACAAGACGCGTTACTGCTACCGCGTCTACGTACTGCGACTTTATCTTGGCCAAGAATCTCTTCTTCAGACTGACTTACAGCAGGTCCATGGTCCACTTCGTACATTGGCTAGTCGCCCACGAGGACTGACAATGAGACCTTGCCCTTCTGTCATTCACTTGATGTCCGCTGTGTCTCCTGGCCTGTATATATATACATATATGTCTTTATCGGAAACTGAGGAAGCAAGATACGTATAGAATGTGCTGATGGCGCTTGGGTATAGACGGGCCGCAGTTGATCTTGCACGGATCGATGCGGTGCTCTGATCGGAACATCACAACCACAACCGTGCCCACGGCTACCGCACATACTGCGGATACGTACACATGGCATTCCCGTTGACCGCTCTAGCTTCCCTTGGTCTCCGGATGCTTGGGTTGCTAGCCCGCCAGCCAGTTTCTGAGCTAACTATCCGTAGACTGATGGCGGTGTCCAGCGAGTTCAGTTTAGCTGCCTTTGCCTTGGGATGATGCGAAGCATCCAGAATTTTTCGACTGAGGCCTGCCTGTTTTCCCAGCCTTGGTGGCCTCGTATGCTTCGGTTCTGTGACCATTGAGTCCTGCAGTAGCGATATCAACAGCTATTGGCACATCTATACCCTTCCATATATCGCCAGTCGCAAATATTAAGGTCCGAGAAAGCTTGTATTGAGCTCAATTCGCTTGTAGACCACACCGACTACCCTGACAGAGAGAACGAAGGATTGGATAAAAAAAAAATGACATGACGGCAAAGCTACCGGCAGCTCCCCGTCTTTAGGCCCCCCAGTCTTCTAAGCCTTGCTGAGGACCTGATGTCGTGGAGTCTTGGTACGTACACACTACTCTTAGTCTTCATGACCCCCCCTGGTCAAAACGCTCCCCGGCATTAGCACCATTTCATCTCATGAGAGCTTGGCTAGCTTGGCCACTGTTGGGCCCTAACTCTGAACCCCAGCTTAGTCTCAGAAGCTAAGCACGGCTTCTTTCGCTAATGTGTTGACCGTGGTCATTGCGGGACTTCTACTTTGGATGCCCGGGCCAGTTCTGATGCTTGATAAGGGCTTGTCGCCGTACCAGGACCAGCTCAAGGCTTACATGGTTCGTACCAGAGCAAATAAAGAATACCACACAGTGTGGCCCTGGATTACAATAGCCCCATCCTAGGACAGACTCGCTTCTCGTACCTAGATGTTTTCTCTTGCTGGTGCCGAACAGACATCTTACATCACTAGAGCTTCCCTGTGCCTGACACAGCTCTGTTCTTCCTTCATCTTCGTTACTCTTTTCTCTTTTTTCATTCTCACAGCCTTACGATACCTGGCTATACAGCTCGCCAACAGTCTTCCCATCCACCGGCAAGGCTTGTTCTTCGTTGTTTAAGCCACGAAACTACCGTCTGTATCTGTTCAAGTTCTTCGCATTTCATCTCAAGCGGCTGTAAGATCCTCTCCAGAAGAGGTGACGTGGGCGACCAAGTACAGTACAGCAGAGCCAATAATTGGAATTGCAAGGCGAGAGGATTGCTTGAGACCTTGGCTCCATCCATAGCCACACAGCATCGGCCATTCAGAACGGGAAGTTGTCTTTGAGGTGTATGATTTGCTGGCAGGCCTGTACATTGAGAGATATCCCTGCCCCCAGTACTGGCTTTCGGCAACCACACTTGCGTGGTTCATCTTCACCTGCAATCTATTTGCGAGTGACCTAAGTTGCCTTCCCTTGAATCAAGCCAAAGTTCCGACATCGCGTTGTGCGGTTCATGGTCAGGACTTGTTGCTGATTACAACCCGGGTGACGTATTGGTTTTCTATTCCTCAGTACCAATTCCCCTGTTTTAACTCGGCTTGCGCAAGAGTGTTGGTTATAAGAGGATCCGTAGAACTCTTATAGCATTACGACTCACTTGCTTCCCCTTTGAAGCTCTGAAGAGTCTGCCTTAGTATTGCTTCAAGAGAGGACTGTTTGGGTTATCTTCCCATCCCGTCCGCAACAACAAATCATCCAATCTGGCGATTCAATCGACAAGCCTGTGGTCGCAGGCACAACCATCTCAGAGCAGACCCGGATCTGCCGCAACAGATTCGACCGGCGCATCGCCTAACTCTCCACGGACACCATCGACACCAACCTGGCCTTCTAGAGACTTTACTCTATCGAAACCGGCTGCCAGCCAGGACAATAAACTACCTTCTTTAGGCAGGCTCGGGGAGGGTCAATGTGCCGGCCCTCGTGGCCAGGTGTGCACAGGCGGTCTGGTCTCAATGTCGCATACTGGGCCAGCATCTCAACATGCGTCACGTCGTTCTTCGAGGTCCCCCTTAGGAGATGACCAAGTCTCGCCTTCCTCAGTTCGACACAGACAGCTCGGTGACCGCGATCTGCGCCAAGATGTGAGCAACGTTCCCTATACAAATGGCGAGGAAAGATTACAGCAGGTCCCCCAAAAGACCCTTGGTGTCCATAACATACTCAACCCTATGGAGCCACGACTACTGGCTTCAGGGGGTAATGGTCATCTTCCTCCAGCAGCTCGTCCATCTGAATCCGCGACACCAGGCCAGACAGTTGGCTCAATCTCTGGATCTTTTGCTGTCGCACGAGCTTTCCCACCAGCCCAACCTGCGTCAATTTCTCTTCCAGGTACGCCATTGGGGCCGATGACACCTATCGGAGGGCCTTCATCAGGACGCAATTCCCCGACGGCTTTCCCATTTCCTACCGTAAATAGTGCAAGACCAAAAGCCAGCCCGACACAACATCCCCGAGCCATAAGTGTTAGTCATGTACCATCTCGTGAATCTGATGGGCGACAGTCTTTACATGGCTTTTCATCTACTAAGCGACCGTTCGAGGACATAACGCCGGAAGACACCAGAACTCAATATCCCCATCTACATCCTTTAACTGGAGCACCCACTGGTCCTCCCTCAGCGATGTCGGATCATGGTAGGTTGCATTCACAGCCGCCGATTGCTTCTCCTGGAACACAAGCTCCTCTCTCCACTTTCCCCCCTAGCCATGCGCCGGGCCGCACGCAACCGCCTCTGGTACACTCTCAGACTTCATATTCTCCTAACATGCAGGCTGGCCGGCCGTTCCCGAGTCCAGGGCCCCCAAGCGAGTCCGCCTCGCCGTGGTCAGAAACACTGCGAAGACATGGGATGGGGGGTTCTCTTTTTGGCGTTGAGGGACAGCAAGCGTTATTGGCACTTCCGGGGAGCGAGGCACCTATCCCTGTTCATATGGACTTTTCGCAGGCGTCTAAGAAAGCAGACGAGAAGAGACAGCGAAATGCAGTGGCTTCAACAAGGCATAGGAGGAAGAAGAAGATCATGCAGGAGGAGAATTCAAAACAACTACAAGAGCTCCGGGATGAAAGGCGCCTCATGGAAATAAGGATTGAGGAGTTGATTCAACAACGGGACTTCTACCGTGAAGACCGTAACCGTTTACGAGACATTGTCGCACAAACGCCATCAATAAGTGGCCTTGCTGCCGGACCTCCTAGTCCTACTATTTCGACAAGCAATTCTTATGCAGAGACCGGGTCGTTAGCATCAGGGCCCTCTGGGTCTATGAGTTATGGAGATGTACTAGCGAACGAAAGACCAGCCCAACGCCGTCGAACCGATGACCACCCTGAATATTCGCTACCACCATACGGATCCCCTGCGAGCGGCCACCCGAGTGCATCTCCCAGTGGGCTACCTCCGATGCCCATGTCAGGTTATGGAGGGCCATCACGGCCATCATCTGCGGCATCCTCAGCTAGCGGTGAGAGGCTACCGCCGCTGAGAGTAATGGAAGGTCGACCTCCTACTGGCCCACCCCCCGGGCCAGGTGTTCAAGAGCAGGATCCGCGAACTGGTCAGTGGGTTCCCGTTCAGCCTCGAGTTCCTGAGACTGGGTGGGCAACAAGGGACACTCACCGCAGGGCTTAATGCGATGGGATTTGAGATTTGCAAGCGTTTGGTTACGCATTACAGTTATGGAGACCCATTGTTCTCATCTATTATATAATATCGGAGTGGTTCAGGTTTTTGGCATGGTTTTGGTGACTCGCGGGTGGGACTTTTGGAAGACGCATCTGTTGGGCAACCGACGAATTTATCGCAACTTGTAATGTTGTCTTGTGTTATCTTGTTTCCTTGTTCTCCGTTCTGATTACGTGTTTTCTGTTGTCCGAGTTGAGCATTGTTTGCATACACGGAGTGCTCATGACGGTTGTGTTTGTGTAAGCATGTATCTTTGTACCATGGACATGTTTTCACCTTTGTCGTTCCGTGTTTCTTCTTGGGACATGGGACGGACTGGATTGGACTATTGAGGTTATCTATCCAGGCCGAGGGTTTCTGTCTTTTTTTTACTCCTTTCTACTTGCTTCAGACTCTAATCGTCTTGAGCTGGGTGATGAGGCTGGGCTCTTCTGAGACCGGATACCCCTGGGGCCTTTGCTCCTCAAACAGTACATCGTCTCGAAGGCGATGGTATACTCGATCAACAAGTACAGGCAGCTGCGCTTTACAAAAGCGCGCGGCAGAGGGATACCTTGAATTACAGTTATTTGGGACTTGCAGCTCAAACCAATGTCTTCAGTAATGGCATAGGTGCGAGTATCGACCAAGACCCATTGTCATTTTGTTCTTTCCTTTGTGTTTTATGAATGGTTAGCTATTGTTTTGGTTGTTTTGTTGTTAGCAAGTCATTTGATACCAGATTGGAATTGTGAATTTAGCTTTGTATCCAATATTTATATAGCGGGAAGTTGTTTGGGATTAGGCGGGAGTTCTCTCGGCTCTTTGGCTTTCCTTTGTTGTGGGAGAGTGCTTTGGTGAGTGTTACCTGATACCCCGGATCTTTCTATGGATCGAAAAGCTCTTGAGTTACATAGTATAGTACAGGATAGAGTGAGAAACACTAGAAATAAGCGTTTGTGCAGGATGTATTTCTTGCACTTAATTACAACTTGGTATCTGGTGCCTGTGAGAATGACTTTACGACCAGTCGAGATGCTACGGTTGTTACAAGTAGGTTGCAGCCAGGTATCGAGATGGAGAACAGAGAGAGACAACAACATATGTGAGTGAGAATGACCGTGATATTGTCATACGGATACTACGTAAGAGATTTCTTCTGCTGGGATACACAAGTGACGTGTCCGAAACACTTGATGGTCTCTTTTGTTGTCTCCCTCCCCCCCTCTCTGACTCGCCTTACCTTGGGCAGTGGACAACGGCCAAAGCCACCTCATGCAAACGTATGGCGTTGGTGCTGTCTGTGACGGTTGTTGCATGCTCCGAAGTTAGCGGCAGTTAAACCAACGGGAATGTTCCCAGGGGCAGGGGTGTTGCAGTACATACAGGATATGCAGCTACACTACGTGCATATACATACGGTACAGCATGCGTGTGCTTACACCCATATTAGCTTTAGCAGATGCATGTGCTTGGTTTTTCTTGCCTCTGGCCGTGTTACAGTGTGTGTGGTCTGCTGTCGTCACATCCTCCAATCTCGGCTCTTGGCCAGGGGTGCAACGAGTAAAAAAGGTTTTGACTTTTTTGGCATTGGGCGGCTAGCGGCTAAGGCACATTAGTTTCCTATCCTGTCATATTATGTGCATGGAGATGGGTGGTGATTCACATTAGATCACACTTCTTCAGGCAGGGGTTGTTATTAGTCGCACTTTTACAAGATTGTCGTAGTGAGATGAGAGAGAGCAAGGGACGTATACAATTGGGCACCTACAGTACTTATTTGGATTAGGTATCACTCAGTGCCCGATACATACCCAAGGTAGGATCCTACTGTAATCTCGATTCTGTGTCTGATACTCGATAATCTGTGATAGAGTTGATCTTCATCAACATACTTTTAGGTACGTAATCCCGTGGTATTATCATCTTGTCATACCCGGCCCCCACACTGTGATCGCGCTATCCCGCGTTATCGGATCATGTCATCTGCTTTAGCTGAACGAGAATCTGATTTCCTGCCTGTATTCCCAGCATCATCCTGGCAGTCATTAACACCAACACCATCTCGGCCCGCACTGTACGCTATAGTCCAGGTGCCCCTTAGTCCCCAGGCCATACAGGATTCTGGTTGCCCGATGACACCAATACTTCATCACTTAATCACAAAGGGAGGCCTCGTATGCAAAGATTGCTTACATATGTATTCGTATTGCTTTTTCTTTTCCATTCTTATCTTCCTTCTTTCTTCTTCTCTGCCTCACAATCTACGGTCCGTCGCTGACTTGTCACTTACATGCACAACGCAAGGAAGGCTTGCAGCTAGCCGCAGTCAACTGACACTGAAGCTGTGGCTGCGAGAACAACGCTAATGAAGCAGCCAAATCAGAGAATATGCGGAGATTCCTTTCTAAGAGTAACCTGCTTGTTCCTCATCTGGTCTGGCACAAGGGGTAAAGCGAAATGGGATGGTTGTTTACTTGACGCCGCATGCTGAATGTTCCGAGTCATTGTGATCAGCCAATCGAGGGACTGCCCTGGATTTATGCCTCGTCGTGATGCTTATTCCCATTGACCGTGTCTGAAAACGGGAACTCAAACTGAATCACCTTCTATAATGAGGACTTTTTGGCATCCGGCTTTCTCGCCACTGGATAGGGAACGGTATCATTCTCGTAAAATCAAATTGTACTCATTGCCACTGTGACATGCATGATCTGCGGACATGAACTTCAAGGTTCCCATGTCATGTCTTGCTGATTGCTGTGCCATGGTTCTTTTGGTTTATAGATGTACGCCTTGGAGTTGTTCATCTTATTTTCACAGGTCCCCGGCTTACAGTATGTCAATAGCGCTGTATCTTCTCGCGCAATTCATCTTTGCAACAAGCGTACCTTCCAAATTGTTATATTGCGTCCAATCAATATTATACCCTACGATGAGGTTGAGTAGTGAAAGGCTGAAGCCACATAACAAAGTTTCAATAGTATTTCGATCCATACGAAATAACCCGATATAGCTTTGACAAGATGTTAAACGATTAGCCAAAATGCACATTTCAAAGTCATGGGAGTATAACACAACTAAATCATGAGCTAGCTACTCAAATCATACCACAGCCACTATCAATCTCTCGGAGGACATCATGACTGAGTCGTGCTCACTTTATGCTCAGTGAATATCAAACCTCGCCTACGGAGGCATGTTTATCAGTATTCGACGCCGTCAAGAGCTAACAGGGATCAGCCACTTCCTAATACTTATACAGGTACCTGATCAAGACGTTAATGCCGTCCCTTTAGCTTTAATTTATAGTCACATCAATTAAAACCCCCGGTTAATTCAAATTCTTTGATCTGAAAATGAGCGCCAAGGTTGTATAAGTCAAGCCACACCATGTGGCCGCCACGTGTGGCTGGGACCTGTCCTGGCCAACCAGGAAGCTCCGAGCTCGACATCTGGCCTCGAGCGTCACCTCAACACTAAACACCCCGCGATCAACATCACGTCAATCTCTGTCAGGCGCATTGCGAATTTGGCTCCGTTGAAGACAACCCCTCTCTCCGCAAATCCCTAAATATCACAAGAGAGGCATTGCCTCATCGCCACCATGGCCCCACCATTCCCTCGCTCGAGTATTGAGCTCGATTACCCTCTCTACGCCGTCGACTTTGACCCTGAGGACTCAACCCGAGTAGTCGTAGGTGGTGGAGGTGGTGCTGGTCGCTCTGGTGTTGGAAACAAAATTGTAAGTCGAGGTCTACAGGTAATGACTTGCACATAGTAACTGGCTAACGAGATGCGCAGACTGTCCTCGAAAGTGTTTCTCAAACAGAGCTCCGAACCGCTGGAGAGATCAACCTTTCACGCGATGAAGACAGCGTTATGTCCCTGGCAGTCGGCCCTCACAAGGGAAAGACCACATATCTCTACGCCGGCGTCAACTCCAGCCCAGATAGCATCGCAAAGGGCAAGAATGAACACCTCCGAATCCTAAGCGTCGACCCTTCGAAGCTGCGCACTGCCGTTGGGGCTAAGACACCCGATGCCAACATCTCAGAGGTCGCGCGTACCTCTCTCTTCGAAAATCCCGACCTTGATACATATCAGCGACTATTGCGCATTGCGGGAACGACTGGTGCTGCAGCTACAGCGATGGGCAAGGAGCCCCAGCTGGCTATCTTCGACGCCGCGGGTGCTACAGCCAAACTACGAAGTGTTCTGAAACTAGACAAGGAGGCCGAGGATTTGGATATTGTGCAAACAGCAGAGAATGAGTTTCAGGTTGCATACTGCTACAAGTACGAACTATATCTTGTCAAGGTCAGCGCCAAGGAGACCAGCGAACCACAGCGGGTATACGTTATGCCAGACGACCATGGCGAACGACCTGCCTTCCGAGCAATTCGTTATCTAAGCCCTCACTTCCTCGTCGCTGCGTCCAATTTACCCAAGCGAAGCGGAGTTGTGATACAGGCGTTGAGATTACCCAAGGAAGGCCAGCCAGACGCACGCCTTTCTATCAATGCTAGGATACCAAGGAAGATTTCTGCAACCGCTCTTGCTATTGCGAACCTGTCACCTCCAGCATCTCCTCTGAACTCCCTCGGCAATACACAGTTCATCATTGCCGTTGCAGGCCATGATTCATCCGTTTCGCTCTATACACTAGAACACACAACAGGCGGCACTGTTGAGTTGCTTGCTAAATTGTGGCACCTACACACTCTCAAGGAAGTCCATGGAACAGACAATATTACTGGAGTGGCATTCTCTCACTTTCAGACACCCAAGAACAACCTTCGCCAACAGTACATCAAACTCGCCAGCACATCTCTCCAGAAGACGGTCGCTGTCCACAGCATTCCCCTTGCGAAGCACGTCGATAAGTCTCCCCGCAATCCGAAGGGACCTCCTCGTCCTGTTCGCTACGTCACAGCTATGAAGTCCCGCGGTGTTTCCTCTCGTGGTCTTGGCATCACAATGGCCATCTTCGCGCTTATCATGGCCCTCGTTGCGCAGACTGTTCTCGAGCTCTATGGCGGATCTCGCCCAGTTCTTGGTGTGCAGAAGATATTTCCATCATGGCATGGCAGTCTGCGCAGCCCCGACCACCCACCCGCCGCCTTCTTAGCCGACGAATTTCTTGCCAAACTTGCAGGTCGCGATATCGCCAAGACTGCCGCTGGTGAAACTCTGGTTGTTTACGAGGGTGATGTGCCTCCTGCAACTGCCGGTGAAGACGGCCAGGCCCCAGAGCTCAAGCTTGATGTCCACGAGCCATCCGTCCATGGCCCGGGCAAGACTTGGGAGGAGCTGGGTGAGGAGCAGAAGGAGGCCTGGAAGGCTCGTCTCAAGGAGGCTGGCGCCTGGACTCAGACCATGGGCGAGAACGTGTTCAAGGGCATTCTGTTCGGCGAGATTGCTGGTGCTGTCGGCCGAGCTGTTGCCGGTTGATATAGCATCACTAGCAGTTCTTGAAAGAGACGATTCTGAAATCTTGTATTGTATCATAAGTTTGTGCTTTATTTACATGTTCTATATGATGGCGAGGGAGTATTTCTGGGATCCGGTTTGCCATTTTAAGCTCATCATGAAAGGGGCGGTAGCGCATACTGAAAGCCTGTTACGTATTTAGGAAGATAATGTACATGTATAGTTATGGTTATTGTTATTAGTAATGTATTCTCTGCATATATGTTCTTACCGTGGTGTAGCGTGTGATTGGTCGGTCATGACTTTCCATCCATATCGCTAGGCGTGAGTGATGGTCACGGGGTAACAGATATCAAGAGATCAAGAGAGTGCGTTTCGATAGATCTGATTTATACTTGATTAACCACCTCGGGCATCACTGCCTCAGTAGACATACTGCTCCGCGTGGTCTTCTCAAATGAGAAGTACGCATGAGTGCGTCTATTTTACTCTTGTTTGTCCCACTAGGTCACCTCGGCGTGTAAGACTGATGTTGGCGATGTTCACTTGCTCAATGCTTTTGAGATAACGCTCCTTTATAGGTGGATTCTGGGTTGAACTGGGAACACTAGAACCTCATCCTCAAGTCAGCATTTGATGGTATCCAAACTACTGCTTGTAGAGATAAAGGGGCCCGTGATATGCCGGCTGTCATATTCCTTATCATTAACATATGCATTGGCCTCTCCTACTTGTTCTTGTATATCTGGAGGTGTTCTTTTCTAGACTCGTATTTTGCCAGCGTCAACAAATATGCTTTGAACTCAACAGGCAGAGTATGGCTTTGCAACGCATACCTAAGAGCTTCGTTGAAGCGCATGTCAAACCTCTTTTTGCATCATGCGGCATAGGGAATATGAGATTAATTCAAACATTCTGGCTCTCCTCTCATGGATATACTCATGGCCTTTATGTCGGTTTTATATAGATAGATCCTATGTTAATCGAACCCAGTAGCTCGGTGGTTTTATCTTCGATGAACAACATCACTAGCAACTCTATAACAGTGCAATGTAGGTTATACAATTTTGGCATATTCAAGCGGCCATCAATAACCTCACATACAGGGCCAATTTGTGTGTGTGCATATACATGAGTTGAGCATCTTTGAGGAGTATTACGTCACGGGAGTATCTGCTCTCATCATCGGCTGGCTTTGTCAATACTGGGATAAGTGCTGTTCCAGCTCAGCATCAGGTTCGGTATGCTTGCCTTGTTCCATAAGAAAACAGGCCATGTTACCCGCGTGTTGGCTGGTTGCAATCGAAGCTGGTTCTCCTTCTGAAGTTCTCGATGTTTCAATGGGGAGCCCTAATAGTCCCCCTCTTACAACACGATGCCACCTATCACATGTTTATGGACGCCTACTGCTGTGAGAAGATAAGTTTCTTGCGTACCTCTACGCAAATTTACCTAGTTTACCTCATGTCCATCAAGGATATCTCAATGCTCAATGGCTGTAAAAGGTACCGTCGTCCCAAGCAACAACCTGTGTAGTCAACGGAACTTTGGTCCCACAAACGTGCCAGTTTGACAAGTCTAATAAAACGTTTCGGAATGTTCCACAATTCTTAGAGAAGTTAGGCGATCATGGTATCAGGAACGAGCGACGCTATTGGGCTCCCGCATTCCAGTCGAGACGATCATTTCGATAATGTCTCTAGAGGCCATCACAAGTCAAAGGATATGCGGGCGTTGGGAGGACCACCTAACTTGATGTACAAAAAGACTGTATGGGTCCCATAACTACCAGCCCATGCAACTTGAGAAAAGCATCGTGGTCTCGCGTTCTCCTACATCAGTTGGTAGTTCTGCTGTTGCACCAGGCATCATCATCGACACCCTGTATGCACGGCATGTACTGTCGTACAAACACCTGGGCCTCGTAAGTTTAGGCCGTAGCCAGGTCTAGCCCAGGAACTGAATTGCTTCACGCCGTTCAGAACGGCCCAGCCGATGAAGGCCCTCACAGAACCATTCAGGTACTCGAGCCCTTCAACGTCCGTCTACAAATTTTTCGGTAAAGGGCTTGACAGACGAGAACCAACGGTGCTCATGATTGGTACAACATCAACGATGGCTTCGCCATGATCAGTTCAAGGTTTGGTCCAATACCTGTGGCGCTCCCGGATTCGGACGAAACTTGAAAGTTTGCTGGTTTAGTGATGTCAGGTTCTCGTCCTTTGCAAGTCGAATCTGTATGATGAACTGATGCTGATGTAGATTGTGATACTGAACCTTGGCTCGGCCTTGATCTACAGACAAGACACTGCAAGATCACGATTGAGGCTTGACAGATGACGCTGCTTCAATGTCAACTCGTATGCATTACAAGCTCAAAGCGTTGTCCATTGCACGATGAGTTGTGCTTTTGCAAAGTTTACTGCAGACATGAAACAAGGCATTTCCTCTTAGACAGTACTACCATGGTCAAAACGTGGCAGACAGAAGAGATTGACAGACATGGAAATAACAGGAGAATGGACAGGCCAGGCAAACAAACCAGCCTCTGAAACGAACAGCGCTGAAATCTGTGGCAATTGCCTCCGTATGTATTCTGCTGCTGCTGCTGTGCCCCCTTTTGAAATGAAATGTTGTCTGTGGCTCAATTTGATTGAAGATGGGTCCCTCATTCATTGATTGACAGGTGCTCATGGCGTCGGCGTTGGCGTTTACAGGGCTATTCCCTGTCACGGAACCCTGATTTTCGCTTCTTGGCGACACATCCAGCTACAGCGATAGCTCTCAACACGTGTGAGAGGCTCGTTCGTTGTCTCTAAAACATTCTCTGTGCCGTTTGTCAAACTGTCTTTTGTGGGCGAGTCTTTTCTTTTTATCAATCTACAGCACAGCCCAGCACCGTAACCGTTTGAAACAAGAGCCCAACTCTGCTTGAATCATGTGAATGCGTCTCGATGGAACCTGTTAAGATGCAGCATGACAAAAGAGGAAAAGCAAACAGCTAAATCGGCATGGATGGATGGATTGGCCTGCCCCTGTCTGTGGCGATATTTTGGAATTCCATCCACATTCCACAGGCTCCCGGCTAGCTGGGTCGATCGTTGAATGCAATTAGACTCTTATTATATTGAGCGTTAACTATAGCATCCCATTTGCAAAGCACAATACAATGCCTTGAAATGAATGCTCTCGAAGTTCATTTTAAGTCTGAGGGCCTCCCGAGTGAACAATAACCCTCTGATTCAAAATATCAGCCTGAAGCCGGAAGAACATGCCAGGGGCATCAGCCACGTTGGTGTCCCGAACATACGTAGTTGGCTGACGTGATCGATTCGGCAATTCATGGTTCTATCGTGACTCGACCACAACAATAGGTGAGATACGATGTTTGCTGGCTGAAAGTCCAATATACATTACGAGTTTTGTTGTTGGTCCTCGTCCTCTTCAGGCAGGTCTACCAAAAAGGGCGAGGAAAATATTTGGAGACAATAGCTCCAGAAGCCTCCCGGCGCCAAACGGCATCGTCTCTGTCTAGGATAAGACCATCACGAACTAGGCCATGAACTATTCCTTCCGTGGGCGTCGTCAACTAGTTCGGGACGTAATTACAAACGAGTCAAGCTGTTTACGCATACGCAGATCAACAATAACAAGTAGATCTCGTCGATCTGGAGAGACATCTTGAAAGAGAAAAAAAAAGATACATCCAGCTGAAGAAACACGAACGAACGGATTTGTCCGGGCATGGGCCAATGTCAAAGCGCACGGCACAGGCTGATTCTTGGACAGCTGCAGGGGCATGGCATGGCATGGCATAACATGGCTGAGCGGACAAAGGAGGGCAGGACAAGGCGAATAAAGGGAAGAGGAGAGGATTCTTTGAGCAGAGAGGAGCTGCAGTGAGACATTCTCCATACTTTTGGGGCATACACGCAATTCAGGCAGCGGCTTGAAACTGAGGTAGCACGAATGTTATTCTTAGTGATGAGGCAACCATAGACTGAGATGGTGAGATTATCAGATACACACAACATATGCCATTGAGCTACCAAAGCTCAATAACAGACCTCAGCTAAGAGTAACGTTTCGTCCTGAGAAACAAAAATCATCCGAATCTCTTCAATAGAGTTTCTGAAGGCGAAAAGTCTCCATTTGGGGAAAATGGTGGGGTTGGTTGTCAGATCTCACCAGCCACATGTTGATGCGGGAGCTAAAGCGGATCGTCGCTGGGCAGAAAGAGACAAGGAAAAGAAGAAGACAGCAAAAAATACAGCCTGACTTTGAGGCTTGTGTTACTGCAATCACATACGAGATATGGCAATCATACCGACATGAAGAAATACAATGCCTCTTCTTCTCATGATGGCGATCAGTAAAGTCTGAGGCTGTAAAGCTATCGAGGCGGTGATGGTTGATCGACGGCACTTGTCAGGACATGCGAGTCGCGTGAAAAGGACATAACGCTCTGTGAATTCCGACTGGATATTCGAGATATTTGCCCCTGCCCGTACCAAGAGCCTGGGTTAACGCAAGGAGCATCTGTATATTATGTACACAATAATCGTATTACGAGTCAAGACGAACGCCTAAAGTCCAGCTCTCTTCATACGAGCCAAGATCTCTTTCAAATTGTCCGTCCGTCTTGGCAGCGTCAATCGAAAAGATGTCTGATGCAGGGTAGATGTCCCATCCACTGGCTTCAGTGTCGGTACCTTGCAGCATATTCTGTGCCCCTTTCAAAAAAAAAAACCGCGAGAACATAACTTCCTATTGGATGAGTCACGATCAAAAGACACAATCTGGTTTTGTATAGAGACAGAACCGCTGATAGGATTCCCGGGTGATGTGTGTCTCGGGAGATGCATCTGGATCATGTGTTTGGACTGGGTTGAACTTTTACGGGATGAATGGGATGGTTCATCAGCTGGGCGCTGAAAAGGTTGCAGTGGGCAATCACTTGCGAGGAAAAAGAAACAAGAGGAGAAAAAGGAAGGTGAACTAAGACTTGCATATACATATGAATGTCAGCTAATTCGACTTCAGTTGTATGTGTATGTTAACCATTCACCACTGTAACAAACGCAGTATCAAGTGAGGAGGATGAGATGACAGAGAGAAAGAGATACGCCACCAACGGTTGGATCGTAAGCGGGACGATCGAGAATCCCAATTTGAGTCCCGTTGGTCTGGATCTTGGAGGGCCAGCCCCCAGTTCATCAAAGTCAGGCCAGGCCAGACCAGATAAAAAATGCCAGGGTCCGGGCGATTTTAGAATTCGACGCTACCAGAGTTATTCCCTTTGATGGTCAGCAAGGGGAGCAATACACCATGCAAAGTTTGACATTCTTGGACCGAGGCTGAAAACAGACATCGACGCAATTCAGGTGTAAAGCTGACAGAGGAGAAGAGAAAGAGGCTTGTGAGTGAGGATGAGATGAGATCAGAGATCCACATCCAGTGGTGCTCCAGCGGTTGGAACTTGAGTTGGAGGTACAGTGAGGACCTCTCCGCCTCGAGTGAGTGGATGGACTGGACTGGACTGGACTTCCTCACCCCATGAGGGGAGGGAGTTGGGCAGGGCTGAGATGCCCAGCTTGATCTGACAGCCATTGACATCCATATCTACACATATGTCAAGACATTCATGATAAGGGTGAGACAAAAACATGGTGGTATTGCTGATACCATATCACATTATCACTGTAAAACATCACAGATCAAGCACAACAATCAGTCAGAACTGACTGAAGATTCATGAGGACCCCTCGACTGCCCTGCTTTTTCTTCATCTGGCCAATTGACCTGGAGCTAAAGCGGTGGCACTAAGCCCAGCCAAGCTAGGAGCCAGGAGCCACCATTTACCACCAAAAGGTGAATGAATGAATTGGTGGTGGTGACGGCATTAAGCCAGCCTGACCAGGGACCCTCCACCTTTTTGATCCTCCTCAATGTCAAGTTTTCCTGATCTCAAAGGGCCAAATACACACAATATCTCCAATTTTGAAAGTGGGAGCAGCATAGATCGTCGATTTTCTTCAAGATCATCTAGCAAATCACGCGCCGACAGTTCACACTATCACATCGATGGAGAGCAACTGAGCGCGCCTCCAAAAAAGGTGTGAGCGGACGGGGGTCTTCCCAGATGCACATGGGGGCATGTGCAGGGGTTTTAGGACCACGCTCCCTGGTGAGGCGACCAAGGGCGGGAAGAGAAGGGAAGCTCAAGAGACTCAAAGGCTAAAAGACTTGAAAGATAGATGAATGGATTGACTTTGCATGGTCTGGGATAGATATTCATATTGATTGTGTTGTAGGCATAAAATTTTTACAGATGATCGAGAGAAGAGTCTTTCACGCCCCTTTATTGATGAAATGAAATGAAAGGAAATGAAAGAAATGACTTGCTGATGCTCAGTCAATCCGTCTGTCAGTGCCTGGTGTGCGTGAGTGTGTGCGACGATGACATCCCGGGCCTCGTGGCATCTCCGCATCCAACTCTTTTTTCCAAGGAACCTTAGCCTTAGCAGATGCTCATAGATTCATCTTGAAGAATTCAGGGAACTTCAATGATCATAAGATATCTGACTGAGAATATACTCACAAGCCATAGTCTGCTCCAAGTTCTTTCTTTGAAAACTGTTTCGGGTTGGAACTACTTGTCTTTTGGCTTGACGGACGGTGTGCCGTCGAGGTCGTTGATGAGGTGGAGTTTGGACTATGAGATCCCTTCACAAGAATGGGTCCCCTTATTGTCTACCCCCGTCAATCTCTCTCCATTCACAAGCACCACCGTAAAGAAGATGCTGAATATCTCATTCAATTGTTCTCTGAGCACCAGGAACTCTCCTATCTTTCAACCCAGATTTACTGGCGATTCATTACCTGGTCAGAAGTCGCACCATGTCCTGCTGAGGTGACGGATGATCCACGAGCCAAGGCCAGTGACTGACAGCCCACCACCACCACTAACTACCAATCCCACCACCTTCAAACGCTTCCCTCCTGCAAGGCAAAGTATGTGGAAGTGAAAGTGGAAGTCTTCATACATTGGACCCAGGTGGGCCGCCTTTTTTTTTTTTTTTGTACCATGCCTTGCATTTCAGACATGCCGCTGCAGCCTGTTGAAAGTGCATCTTGATTGATCATGCTCAGATTGTCCTTGGAAGCCATTTGAAATGAGATCCTATAATAGAACTGTGTGTGTATGTGCATGCAAGAAACACAATGCAATGTGCTCAAGGACTGGCTTCAAACAAGACAAGAACAAATAGAGATCCTCTGTCAATGCTGGCGCCCATCAAAGTACCTGGTACCGTACCTGGGCGCCCTCACAATTCCCCAACCAGACTAGGGAAACAAGGATGTCTGCCCTTTTCAAACAACCAGGACTTCTCCAGTCCCAGTCCCAGGCCCGGGGGTGCAATGAGACTCGAGCTCGACCTTTGATATGATAAGGAGAACAAAAAACATTCAGTCAAAGCGTTCGCTTTGTCCAGACTAAATTTGTCGAGATATTTCTTTCAACCTCGATTAGGTCTTCTTTCATTCTTCCTCTCTCCCACTCGACGGGGGGACTCGGCCAATGACAGGGTCGTCGAAATGTGAATGTGCCTCTTGTTCTTGTCCCGTCGTGCAAGCGTGTCACCTTTGTCTCCAATGCTTTGTCGCAGGTTCTCCCTCCTCTTCACTTCCGTTTGAGGTTCGACGTCTTGTCTACCCCACTGATGTGCGGTACATCCTTGAACAGCACCTTGTTTGGCGATATAAGGTTGATCAACGTTGAGAGGGAGAGAGGGAGAGTTTATGAATTGAAATTGAGCAATGCCATGTTTTTTTTTTAACATTGTTGCAAAACGTTTTGCTAGACCGTGCACCGTTGAGATCAAGGGTCGTTACTCTGATGCTCGGTGCCATTTGTTTCAACTGTCGCCAATCCCAGACACCACAGGTATCCGTGGTTAGGAGAGACAACACAGCACTTTCATCGTACTCTGCTGTACCTTTCCATCCATTGATTTGGAGAAATGATTCTAGCGGCCGTCCAACGACGGATAGACGCCGCCCATTAGCTCATGCGACCAACGCCTCAACTTTTGGTGGATATGGATACTTAAAGGAAATAGGTAGAGGAGGATGAGTTGGAGGGGTCGCCCACAAAAAAACCTACATGCCACACTGGGCTGAACATCTGTGAAACAGACAGCAGACGTTGAAGAGAAACAGGTTGTAAGCTGAGAATGCCGCATACACCTGAAGAAGCGGCAGCAGGCAGTCGACATGCATGGTTCAGATGGCGGTATGGTTACGTACCTGGACGAGGCCATCTCCAAGGCTGTGCAGTGTGAGATTTCCTCCAAAGCCTCAGGGTTCTCTTCGTTCTGTCCTCGGGAGAGACAGAGACAAGAGACAGACGGTCAGGTACTGGTACCGCACACCAACGGAACCAGTCCAACTCAGGGATAGCCTCCCTCTAGGCTCAGGCCCAGGCGCCCTGCCGACGCTTGTCCATGCCCCCGTCGTCTCTTCTTGGCTCTAGTGCGACTCTGCTTTATCCACCATGACCTTGGAAGTTCCATCGACCTCTTTTCTGTCTACGTGGTTGATGAGCTGCTCCTCTCGATTTGCACGTGTGAGTGAGAAGGAGATGGGACAAGAGAGCTGAATGTTTGAAACATTTGATGAGTGAAGAGAAGGGATCTACGGGTTGAGGGTACACATGGGGGCGTTCTTGGGGTTAGAGTTTGATAGTGGACTCGTGCCTGGAATTGGAATTCGTTTGGCAGCAGTGCCGTAACCGTGAGGACAAGACAGGACAGGAAGGACAAGCAAGGGGAGACAAGAAAAGTTGAGATCTTTATCCCAAGAGACAAAAAGACTCGGGTAAGTGTAGCATTGTGTAGTAGGTGTTTAGATTAGTTGTTTTTGACAGTTTAGTTCAAGGACACAAGTTTTATTGCTCCCTGCGACGACAGGTCTCTTGGAAGCAGGGCCTTGTTGATATTGGATCAAATTCACTCCCGTCAGTGATGAGCATCCACCCCAAAGAGGAATTCTCGCTGCCACTTCTGTATCATCCATCACATGGTCATCTTCTTATCTCTTCACCTGTGTTTATGACCTTTACCGCTTCTGAAGCCTCTCGAGATACAGTGATTGACTTGACTCATTGCTACCGTCATCAGTATCGAGACCAAGTCGTCGTCATTCCCAGTCCAGTCCAGTCAGTTCCATAAAAGTGAATTGCTCCAACTCGGCAGTCGCCCTGACCCTGTATCTCCTCTGGCCTATCAAACCTACAGCAGATTGACAGAGTGGAAAAGGTATCAGATACATCCCATACACCAGACTTGACCGGGATGGCTTGGGCGACCAGGGTCCCTTGGTAGTAAGGCAAGGTAAGGTAAGGTAGTGCTAGTGGCCCGGCGCCGCCCAAATTCCACAGTCCACACCCACCTCACTAGGTCTTGCTGAGGTGCTGCTGCCATCTTGGAACCCCCAACTCGAGGCGCTTGCGACCTTTTTCACCAAAACAACACCAAGACCGTTGACCATCACCGCCCTGGGTCGATCGGTGAACTTGACTGTTTTCTTCCTTCTCTCCTCTTGCTGGGCTTCAACTCTGACGGCGTTTGTCGTTTGTTTGACGACCATCACATCCACCTTAGCGATCCTTCTTTTTCTTATTCGACTTTATTTGGTTACTTTGCATTTTCTAGACGCTTCACCCATAGCCCATCACCATCTCGAATACCGCGAGTCGATCCGCTACCTATTAACCTCCAAATCCGCCAGTCTCGACGATAAAAGGTTGACTGAATCACGCCTCGCCTGGCAGTCTTCCACCGCCTTTCCGCCTCTGTGCGAAAGATAAATTCCCTTAATACTTGACGAGAGTAGTTCTGCCGCCGCCAACTAACGCTTCGCGACGTCACAAATTCGACCCGGCTTTGGCACTGAATGTACGGCAACATTCGACGACAACCCGATACTCGAACACATTTTCGACACGCGTAACATATTTCATTTTGGCCAATTTCAAGGGTGAACAACTGCCTTGTTGCACAAACGACCGCCCTTTTATGGATCGCCTTGTGTTTTCGTAGGCTCCTTTGACGCAACCTCCACCTCGTTCGTCAACCACTGTCCAAACGGAACCCCCCGCCAATACTTTTGCACCGCCTTGCCCGACATACTTTTGTGCATTTTTGATCTCGTGATCTATCTCAACTTTTACTTTCGCTACCTCACCTTGGCCCAGTTACTTCTCAAACGACGAAACTATCAGTCGAGATATCTACTGCTTGCTAGCCTGGGTCTTGTTCCCTCAACTTGAAAGCGGCCATGGCGGCCAATATGCAGCACATGGCTGGGGCCGGGCAGATGATGCAGCAACCGATGCGCAAGCCGACCCCCAATCAGCTGCAGCAGATAGTGTACCAAAATCTTGTCCAACATACACAGCCATTCACTGGCATATGTTGGCAAGCCAATGTAGCCATCTCTGATCGCATGGGTAAGACCATGAACTTGTATGGCTCTACTTAAACTCTGTCACGAACCTTACTGACTTGTCAAAGGATAACCAACATTTCTCTGGCCATGAACGGAGGGGACTACATGAAAGGGGCTGAATGGGGCTGTAACTTTGAGCGTGAAGCATTTCACAAATCTGCTACAAAGGTACGATCTTTTAATTTTCTGTTTTCTGAACCCTAAACTCCCTCCTTCCGACACGCTGCTGACAACCATCACAGGAAGCTTACGATCAGGAGATGGGTAATAAGATCATGGAATTCTTTAAGAGACGCCAGGCCAATGAACCCACACTCCAGAATAGTATCAATGTCAGCGCTCAAGCGCAGGCACAAGCACAAGCCCAAGCGATGATGAACATGCAGATGGGACGCGGCATGGGCCAAGGCCCTCAGCAAGGCTTCCAGTCTATGCAGCACCCGATGCAAGGTGGCCAGATGAACCAAGCACAACAACAATTACCGATGAATGCCGGAATGAACATGGGCATGCCGAACCAAGCTGGTCGTGGGATGGGCCCAGGCCAGCAGATGGTAGGTATGGCTGGAGGACAGAACCGACCTCAACAAACTTCATTCCCATCTGACATGGCACGGCTTTCGCAACAAGACAGAGTTAAGGTTAGCGAGCTTGCACAAAAGATGTTTAACACTGCCTCGGATCAGCAGAAACAAAACACCCGAATGCAACTTTCTCAAAGGATAACCCCCACGCAGATGAACGAACTCACTGCACAGGGCAAAGATCCTTTGATGTGGTTTTATCAGAACCAGGCCTTCCAAGTTCTTAAAGCGAATATGGCCAGAATTCAACAGGGCCAACAGCCGCAAGGGATGGCACAGAATCCCAACAACAATCAAGCACCCATGATGCAGCAGCAGGCAAGTCAGCAAGGTCTTCGCCAGCAACAGGCTCAGATCCCTCAACAAGGGCAGCAGCAGCATGGCATGATGAATGGCAATCAAGGCAATAACGATTATAACTCTTTCGCACCCAACATGGATAGCATTGAGAAACAGCAGATGAATGGTTTGATGGCTCAGCAAGCCGGTCAGATGGTAGTACCTGCCAGCGCCGGACCGAATCGAAACGCGACGCCCCAACCGATGGGCCAGAACGCACCCAGCCAGCAAGGCCCCAATCAAGGCCAGCGACCGCCGCAACAGCCTCAGCAGAACATGAATCTTCAGCAAATGAAGATGAACCAAGTCTCGCAGCAGTCACAGGCACAACTGCAGGCACAGCAGATGAAGCAGATGCAAAATCAGGCAGGAATGGCAGCCAACATGCAGCCTTCCCAAAGTCCTGCAATGAACACCCTTAACACACCTGTTTCTCGGCCTGGCAACATGAATCAGGCTGCTGGACAAGGCGGTGTTCAGTTCGGGGACCAGCGGTTCAACCAAGGAGCACAGCGGCCTAACAACCAGACTTTCCAGAACATGCTGGCAAGTCTACCGCAAGAGCAACGTCAGATTGTGAGCGGTCTGACTCCGGATAAGTTGAATGAGGTAATGCAGCGTTGGCAGTCAAAGCGCAATGAGCAAATGGGCCTAAATAATGGTGGACAGCTTCCTCCAGGGCAAATGGCGAACCGACCTCCAAGCCAGATGAACCAGATGAACCCTAACGGTGCTGGACAAATGTCAGTCAACATGCAGCAGCCGCAAAATGGAGTGCCTATGAATGGCAACCCGCAGCAAATGCAGATGCCTCGGCTGGCCCCGAACCAGCAGCTGGCTATGATGGACTCTATGGAATTACCTCCTCAAGTCCTCACCCAGCTCCAGGCTCAGCTTCCCCCAGAGGTCAAGAAATGGGGACAGCTCAAGATCTGGCTTCAGCAAAACAACATTCCTCAGCAACTACGGACGCAACTGGCAGCCGTTCAGCAAAGGCAGTTCCAACTCGCCCTTCAGCGACGCGCTAGTATCATGCAACAGCAGCAACCGGGCCAGCCAGGACAGCAGCTTTCACCTCAACAGCAACAACCGCAGCAGCCAGGACAAAACAATGCCAACCCTGGCATGCAAGCGCCAGGTGGACCTGGACCCAATCCCCTACAAGCAGGACGACCACAGATGCCTCTCAACATACCAGCACACATCCTGCAGGTTTCTCCGCACGAAATAGCGACACTTCGGAATCGACCTCAGTTCGCTCAAGCGTCCGAAGAACAATTGCGCAATGCGATTCTCCAGATGAAGAGGAGTTCCTGGGCGAACCAGCAGGCGCTGCAAATGCGAAACCAACAAGCCCAGGCTCATGTAGTGCAAGCTCGTAATCCAAGTCAAGGCCAGCCAGGTATGCAGAACCAGATGGGTGTTCCCCCGACACAAATGCAGCTTCAACAACCACCCCAGCCAAACCAAGCACCGCAAACCCAGAACATGCCAGGAGCCAACAACATGGGACCGACTAATGCTGCTCAACAAGCGGCTCAGAAACAACCAAGCGTGACTCCAGAGCAAGCACGAAATGCTCGCCCTCAGCCTGCCAACAACCGAGCACAGCCTCCGAACCCATCGCCAGCATCCGCCCCGAAGAACCTCAAGCGCCCGAGCAACGACGATACCATCGACGTACCCGAAACTGCAAAGGCAGCACCCGCGAGACCAGCGTCACAGCCCAACCAGCCACAGCAGGCCCAAGGCCCAAGAATGTTGACTCCTCAGCAAATTGCAGCGCTCACACCAGAGCAGCGAGCCAAGTACGAAGCGATGATGAGGGCACAGATGAACAAGGCAGGCCAGATGCCTCCTCAAGGTGGAAACGAGATACTGGCGCGTCTAAAGGCACTAGGACAAGAAGAGCAACGACAATCTGTGCGAGAGAACGATCCTGAGATTCCGATGTCACAGCAGGAATACCAGGAGACAGCTGACAAGCTCAAGAAAATTGTGGTTGATATGAGCAAGATTGGCCGTGGTTTGAGCAGATGGTATGGTCTCACGCGTGATGACCAAAGAGCAAAGATGTTCTTCCGAACTGTAAGTCTACGTCCAGTTGTATCATGGATGGCATGCACTAACCCAGAACAGCGATGGAGGATCCTCAAGCAGTTCTCTGATGGCGAGAAGATGTCTGTGCCTAAAAGCGTGTTCACGATGCGAGCTGTGGAAATCGATCAGGCTCGAAATATGCTGGAGAGCATGGCGAAGGATCTCGCGGCGAGCGTGTATGCCAGAGGCCTGAATAATCCTAACAGACAAGCCACACCCCACAATCAGAATGCCCAGGCTGCCCAACCACAACAGCCATTTTCTCAACAGCAGCAACCTCAACCTCAACCTGATCAGCCGACGCAACCACCGGGAGGACAAGCAGCTCCTGCCAACGCCGAGAATGGTCGCCGGAACTCTCAACCTCAGAATGCTACTCCCAAGGGAGGCAATAAGGGCTCACGGGCCCCAGAAGCTCCTACAAGCGCTCGGCCCCCCTTCCAGTTGCCTCCTCATGGCAACCCAACTTATGTCGCACCGTCAAAGGAGCTCAACCTGCAGCTGCCGACAGCACGCAAGAAGCAAAAGACTGGACAGACACCCCAGGGCGCTACGCCTTCGCCTAAAATTAGCAAGAAAGGATCCCCTGAGCTCCGAAGGACGTCCGAAACACAGTTGCCACCTAAGCCAGTCTTTCTCTGCAAGGAACCCGAGTGCGAGTTTTCAACCACTGGTTATAGCACTGAGCAAGCTCTTCAACAACATGTCTACGAGGAGCACACGAAGCCTCGAGAAGATCCTCTCAAGTTTGCTCAGGAGAACCTGGCCTTGGCCCTTGGACTCGAGCCCGATGGCACAATCAAGCGGGAACCAGGCACTGAAGCTGCTGCAATGAGCTTGACCAACTCCAAGCAAGGCCAGACACCTGTCACTATGGCGGCAACTCCTGTGTCTATTACCGATGCCGGTATGAAGCGATCGGCCAGCAGTATGGGCAAACCCCAAGACAAGACCGGCCTCAAAGCTGGTACAACTCCCAAGATGGCGGATATCAAGGCGGCTGAATCGACTGCAGTTGATCCTTGGGCCAATGCGACCATCGACACGGAGATGCTGGTGAACAACCTCGGAGTCGAGCGCGGGTACGGATTTTACGATAACCCCTACTATGACCTCAACGCTCTTAGCTATTTGACGCCCAGAGACACACCTGACTCGGTCAAGGATACTGGCAGCAGCGAGCCCAACAGCGATCTCCCAGAAGGTGCAGCCATTGACGTTAATATGGACTGGCATAACATGGATACCGATCTGCTTCTGAACATGACCAACACTTTGGACGCGAGTGGTGTAATGGGCATTGATCCCGCAGCGTTGTTCGACCCGCCATCGTTGCAAGAACCGGACTGGGATGATGTGAAGATGGACTTTTCGAAACCTTTCCAATTCGACACTAGCCAACACTACTATATGGCAACCTCATAATAATCGCAGCCGTTGAACGGCATTATACAACAGACAGACTGATTACCTAGCCACCACAAATCGGCCGGTAATTAGGGCTTCCAGGTCCGGGAGATACCCCACACATGATATGTTTTGTTTTTGTTTTGTCACCACGACCCGTGGTAGTTTTTGCTAATTGCATTTTGTTTGGATAACACTTCAGGGATGCGGATCGAAGCCAGGTGACGGCAGTAAAAGGTGGACGGGGCTGAAAACATGATGGAGGGCGGCGCTTTGTTCTGGTCCAAGGACGAAAGGCAGGGTGCGATTTGGCAGAGGATACACAGGAGTTTGACTGGCAGGAGGCTTTGTTTGTAATGCATGATGCTTTGATTTATGATGTTATTCGAAGCGCGTTGTGGTTGTCTTAGTTTTTCTCGTTGAAGCTACCAGATGCTTCTTTTTTGCAAAGTCGGAATTAGTGGCTAGGGCTTATGAGATTCATAGACATGAACTCTGAGCAAATGATACCCAGCATTTTGCTACTTGACAGTTGCCTTCTAGGTGCTATACGCACATGTATTCGCCCGTGTTATGTTGGTCAAGATTGACTTAAGGTCCGGCCAACACCCGTTCCTGCATCCGGGCCGCAACGGGAATCATGCCCCACAAGGCACGCGCCTCCCGTGTCTGGAGTCACAAACGCTAGGCTGTCTTTGGAATAGAACGATGGACCCTCGGACACGGCACGCGAATCTGCAGTGTTGACGGCTGGGGAAGATTATGTCAGCTCAGCTAGACCGTTTCAGGAAATGAGTAAATATGGGCGAGGTTGGCTGAGATTTGAGACAGGGATATAAAGCGCGACCGTGTCGGGCGTAAGAGGCTGGGTTAGGGTTACGGACGTGACGGGTGAGGTCAATTAGACGATCAATTTAATGTTACGCCTTCTGGGGGTTGTTGCCAGTGGGGGATGAGATATCAGTGAGTGTCAGTAGCGTTGAGGGAGAACGAGACATTGACACCAATAATTGAATATTAAGAATTGAAGAACAATTGTCTGTTTCAAAGTGTTGATCTCCTTGCGCAATATTTATTGTTGTCGTGTTTCGTTGACCAGGAACGACGCCATTAACACCAAACCATCCTCCATCCTTAGTAACTTGACCATTTTCCGTTTTCTCCAATCCAAAAAAGCCACCCCGCCTTATCTTATCGTCCGCGTCCCTTTAACAAAACCACCACTCTACTTTACTCTACTCTACCATTTCCCATCTCAACGTCCTCCCACTAACACGCCTCGACACGCGATCAAAGCATACAAACTTTAAGCTCTATTTTGTTTATACTTTCACTTCCCCCTCTCTCTCGTGCATACATAAAGAGTGCTTCAGCTTGCAATGGAGCAATCAGCTACATCATCCTCTACATCATCACCTACGAAGCGACGCGCCCTCGCTCCCTTGGATTCTAACGCGCTTGCTGCACCAAAGAACTTATTCAAGCCTGCATTGGGTCACAGTCCTGTAAAGATGGCTATCGAGGGGAGGAAGAGGTTGCTTGATATTGAGGGCAGCGCGCCTGCTGCTAAGAAGGCGTGTCTGGGACGTGATGAGGTATGCTCTATTACTTACAAGATATCAATATGGGAAATGAACTTACAACTAACATTGATTGTATAGGACGCGTCTGAGAGGAGTGCCAGTCCTGATGCTAGCTCTGTCTTCGACACGTCTGCCAACGATAATTCATGGGCTACTGCTGCAACCGAACATGATGCGGCTGCGGTTCCTACAACGGTACAACCCACACAGCAGACTACAACACTTACACGCCAACAAATAAGACAAGTCAGTTATTTACACCCTCCCCACTTACATCTATATATGTATGCTAATATCCTACAGAGGGCAGAAACACTTCGTCTCCGTCTATCCCTCGCAAACTACAAAGTCCGCACAGGCCAAACAACCGTGCCCCTCTCCGAACTACAGCAACGACCATTACCCCGCGAGTCACCACGCGTCGTCCGCGTACAAAGCCCCGAGTCCGCCAGCGTGTCCAACCAAGAGGAAGAGACAGAGACAAGATCGCGAAGAGACTCGATAGATTCACAGCAGACAGAGATCATGGAGGAGGAAGACGAGGAGCAAAGTTGATGAGATATCGGGATATAAAAAAAGGGAAAGATGGGATGGTGTTGGGGAGTTCTTGATGGCTTTCTTACTTTTATGAGCGGGGCATGGCGGGCATGTGAAGCGAGATATGTACGATGGAAAGGCATTTGCTTGGAAAGCATTATTTGATTTAACGATCATGGGCGGTAATGAGACATAAGTGTGTTCTCATCTGGATAAGATTCATCAGAGATATCCAAAGGCGTTAGAGAGGAGTTGCATTGAACGGACTGGGGTTGCAATGTCTGGATATGTTCATTCACAACGACATACCTGAGCCCAGTTTTAATGATAAAGTGACATTGCTCATTCATTTAACAAGATACATACAAGTGAGACTACGTCCAACTCTTGGCTGTAATGTTGCCCTGTATTCTTTCATTCATCCGCTCCTCGCTTCTACACCCAACTCCAATGACACCCGACGTCATATGATGCTCCACTTCTAATGCTTAATCGATGAGAATCTTGGGCTCCAGGGATCCATAGTTCTCAAAGAATCCCTTGAACAGCTTGATACCGTAAGCGACATCGGCAGTACCTCCCGTCTCACGAATGCTGTGCATGCTGAGCTGCGGGTTACCGAGGTCCAGAGTCCTCATACCAAGGGCGGCAGCGAGGCCGGGTCCGATGGTGCTACCGCAGGGCGAATCGTTGCGGACGACAAAGAGCTGAAGAGGAACGCCAGCTGTACGAGCACACTCCTGAAGGAGCACTATTCCTGGGGAGTTGGTAGCGTACCGCTGGTTGGCGTTGATCTTGATAACAGTTCCGCCGTTCATGGCTGGCTGATGCGAAGACTCGTATTTGCCAGCATAGTTGGGATGCACAGAGTGGGCCATATCAGCAGATACGAGGAAAGATCGTGACAGAGTCTGCTCGTATGCTGTAGCCTCCTCGTTATCGTGGTGAACAGCCTCATAGCTACCTTCACTGGCAGTGTCCTTTCCAGGAAGAACAGACAGACGGCGGATGACCGATGGCAGCAGGTTGGAGTTGGCACCCTGTGCCGAGGTCGAGCCAATTTCTTCGTGATCAAAGCACACGGTCAACCGGATGGTGTTATCTTCCTCAAGCGAGGACTCATCCTTGACGGACTCAATAAGTCCCTCTACTGAGCAGTATGTCATGCCAAGGTTATCGAGACGAGGAGAAAAGATAAACTCGTCGCTAAGGCCACCAATGCATGACTTTTGAGTATCGTAGAGAATCAGCTCAAAGTCTATAATCGCAGAAACCTCGACTCCTGCCTCAGCTGCAATAACGTCAAGGACCTGAGGGTGGTGTCTCTCAGTCATGACCTTGAGAGGCCTGAACTCCTCATCCTCCTCATTGTCATCCTTCTTCTCCTCGGGCTTCTCATCCTTTGTTCCCTTGTTCAGCTCAGCTGCAACAAGTCCTGCAATGGGGAAAAGCTCGGTCTCCTTGTTGGGGTCGAAGTTGGTCTGTCGGTGAAGGTGAATGGCGAGAGTTGGGATTCTGATCAAGGGCTTGTCGACCTTGATGAGCTTTGAAACAAAGTTGTCGCCCTCCTTGACCAGGACACGGCCGGCAATACTCAAGTCGCGATCGAACCACGAGGTCCAGATACCACCACCATATGTCTCAACGCCGATCTGGAGGTAGCCGACATTGGTCTTCTTGGATACGGGCTTCAGTCGAAGGCAGGGAGAGTCGGTATGGGCTCCAATGATGGCGACAGGGTTTCCAGGGCGCCACTTTCGGCCGATGGTGAAGGCTACGATAGTCGAAGCATTGCGGGTGAGGTAGTATTTACCGCCAGGTCGGAGGGTCGAAGCCCAAGAGTCGCGCTCACGGATAAGCTTGAAACCGGCCTTTTCGAAGCGAGCCGAGGCAGACTGAACGGCATGATAAGCTGTAGTATGTTAGCAGGTATTAGGGTTATGGTGGAATTGAGGTGACCAACGGGTTGGCGACTCATTGACGAACTCAATAAAGTCGAGAGCTTCTTGAGGAGGTGCCATGATGGACGAAGAAGTCGAGAATGAAGCTGGGAATAGACGCGGGGTAGTATCAATTGAGGTTCTGAAAGGCGATGCTCGACGTGAAGAGACGCGAAAGAGAGCGAGCATCTGTTGAAGAGATGGTGAAAGAGTCGAGAAAGCGGTGACTAATTAAGGCAAAGTTAAATAAGTTGAGAGATCAACGACGTCCTTTGTACATGGGTTAGGTTGGGTCATGTGGTGTTTGGTTTGGTTGGTCGTCATCTGCATTCAATCCGCACCTGATGCCGTTAGTAGTGGGGGGGCTTATCTTATCATCCATAGCAAGCTTCCTATCGCGGAACTGAATGAGGCACGAAGATATCAAAGTCATTGTCATGATACTAGATTTGGTGTTCTTATTCAAGATATATAAGAAAATGTGTAAGTCTGCACAGCCTGGTAGGTAACTGTAGCCCACCGTCATTGGTCAATCTCAATGCAGGCTGCGCTGTGTGTCCAACATGTACCATTGTCATTCGCTATCCTGGCTCGTGGCATCAAAGCCAATTGGTTGACAATTCACCAGAAGTTGCACTTTCAGTCAGCCAAGCAAGATATATCATCGAGAAGGAATGAGACATAGAGCTGCTCTTATTCATTTCTTGGGTTGCGGACTGATGGAAAACAAAAGATTGTTCAAGGTATTTCTATTCCAAATTTTCTAATCATATGGCATATGCCGTCCATCTATCCCATTCTGAAAACGTTCAACAACTCATCTAAAGCTCGATAGCAAGTCCTCATATCGCCAGAGCTACAAGGTATCCAATATCCCAATTCAATCAAGCCCAAACGCAAACAAGGGGGAATCAAAATCAAAGGTGACAACCACATCGCTATCCGCTTAACAAAAGAAAACATCTTCAAAGGTCCTAGACCAGAAGCCCCAGCTTTTTGAGATACGAGTTACTGAACGCTCAGTTGTTGCTTTCAGAGCCGGAAACAACACCCTTCTCAACCTGAGAGACAGAAGTGGTGACTTGAGGCTTGTTGAAGACAAGACCAGGGTGGCCGAAGCAGAGAGCCACAGCAGCAAGAACGATGACAATGCCCTCAAGGATGATGAAGGGGACCTCGTGCTTGATCAGATCACCATCATAACCCTCGCGGAGCTCAGCAACACGATAGATGCATCGAGTGAGGACAAGGATGATGGCAGTAGAGAGACCAGCAAAGAAGGCAGTCTCGCGCCAGCCGAAAGCCTTGGCATGACCAGATCGCCAGTATCGAATCATGTAATCAGAGAAGGCAGCGATGAAGACGACAAGGACGACAACCTGGAGGACAAGACCGGCCATAGAGACATCAACACCAACATTGCTATCAGACTCGGTAGACATGGCACCACCAGCAGCCTGGAGGATGAGGCAGACGATATCGAAGGGGATGAAGACCCAGTAGAACAATGCGGGCTTGAAGCGAGAGAGCTCGGGGCCGAAGAAGTTGATTGTCTTGGAGAGGGTGACATAGATGGAAGCGGTATAGAAGACGGGAGCGATCGTGAGGCAGACTGAAACAAACTGTCAGATTGTGATTGTTAGGTTGGATGAAAAGAATTGAGACTTACCAATCTGGATCATGAAAGCGTTGAAGGAGAAGGGGTTGTACCACATCATGATACGACCGACATAGCCAACAATCTCAGAGATGCAGCCAAGAAGCATACCAGTCATGAAACCCCAACTCTTCCATCGGAAGCCAAGATATGCGTGGACAAGACCAATGAGACTGAAGAGAACGACGAAGACAATGTTGGCAGCAAGAGAAGGTCGGTAGCTGTAGATACTCCACTCAACAGGGCAAGTATCCAAGTTACAGGGCGAATCGGAGCCGAAGGCATCTTCGGGCCTGATGGTGTAATTGTAAGGCATATTGTTGGTTGATGTGTATTGCGTTGTAAGTCGATACCAGCGTGTAAGTCGGGATAGTAAAGGAGAAGCGAGTGGTGTATTTGTATTTGTTCTCGACCGGATAAAGGTAAGCTTATGTGTTGTTTAATAGGCTTTGTGGATGACAGTAGATAAGGTTGTAGGAATGTAGATGCTGATGTGTGAATGATGGTGAGAAAAGAATGTTCTTGGAGGGGAGGATGGGGCATTGATATAGACATGATGAGAGCTGCAGAAACATGCAGATTTGATGTGTGAGAATGGCTACGACAGCGATAATGTCGGACTCGGATCTTCAAACTGCAGACACGGAATAGCAAGGCAAGGCAACGAATGCAGTGCATTTGCTAGTCCGGCACTAACACAAGGAGGCTCATCTGCTAAGCACAAGGTAGCGGTAGGCTTGCTGTCGCTCTCGCTCTTTTAGCGCGAGGGCACGCGAATGTCGATCATTGAGACCAATAAGACGCAGGATCATGGACATCTTTAGTGGATGGGATAGCATAGCATCAGCCTCAAAAACGGGGCAGTGTCAGCATTAACAAAGCCGCATGTAGATCCACGCTCTGGATGGCATTCCCGGTACCTTTGACGTCTATCAAGGTCTGCAAGAACATACGGAATTTGCATATTGGCTTACACAACAATACTCAAGATCCTTAGGACTACACTGAAGAAAAGTCAATTAATATGTCCTCATTCAGTATCTTTTCGTAATGATGTCCTCTGACGCTTACAGCTGAAACAGCATCAAACAGATCATGATAATTCCCTGCCAGAAGCAAGGATGATCAACGGGGTAAATCAGCCTATCACATCAGGACCCAAAGATAAAGATAGCGGTAGAACCACACACGCTAAAAGCAAAAGTGCGAGAAGCGAGTCCGAGTGAGATTGATCACCACGATCCGGCCAATCATCATCATCTTGGCCACGGGAATGAGCGCTGCGTAGGACTCTATCCGTTAATGATGCGTCATTCAGCCCTTTTTTCGAATCGCTTTCTCTTTCAGTTTTCTCGTGGAGGCTTGGAGAAATTATCCTTGACTTTACAGCCTGAGTCGTGTCACATTTTTCGACAACACAATTTTAGGATAATGACGAATGGGACTAACGGTGCTTTTACCTTTAGGCATATTTTTCTTATTTCCTGTAAGATTTGCGTAATTGACCCGGCTTACACCCGTCATCAGCTGGAGCCATCAGCTCAACACTGGAGACTCTCTTGCTTCTGCTGGCATGTGTGCCTTATGAAGCTCACGTTGCATATTCAGCTCTACAATCTCTGCATTGCAATTTACAGCAAATTGGTCCTTGAAACAGTACCTCGTCTCTGCAAGATATCTATCTGCTGGAG